CTCAAACGTATCGGTCCTTGAAAAAGCTAGCCAGCTGCTAATAACTATGCAGAATGTCAGAAAACCGCCTACCGAAATCTCTTCTTTACTGTGAGCTTGTAGACGGTAAGGGAAACCGGGTGGACAACTCAAAAGGTATAAGAATATTTTCCATGAAAACTTGAAGGGAATACTCATGCAGAATCAGTGTGAGGAAGCAGCGTACAATAGAACACAATGGAGAAGAATTGTAAATTCAGTTAACAACGACAACCAAAAAATAAAGACGCAACAAAGCAATGAGATTTTTGAATCTCCGGAGTGCGGAAGAGAGATAACATCACGTATCGGGCTTTTCAGTCATGGAAAAGCTCACGAAAAGAAATTATCTGCGTAACAATCTTCTGATGCGTGCCAAATACACGTCAGCGAGTAATGGCAGTAAGTAATACAAATATTAAGCGAATCCGTGCACTTCTTTTCCTTCTGATTTTACAAACTAAAAAAATAATATTAGCGTGCAATATTGAAAGACAATAAATTTTAGTAGAACTGGCGGGGGTGTGTATTATCCCCACTCCTTTTCAACATCTACTCCGGGGCGGTACTCCGTGAGGCACTAGAGAGCGTTGAGGATGGTATCAAAATCAATGGTACCCTGATCAACAATATTCGCTTCGCAGATGATACGGTCGTACTGGCTGGCAACATTCTACACCTTCAGAACATGATGGACCGCATCGTTGAACATAGCATGCAGTACGGATTACACATCAATGTTAACAAAACTAAACTTGTATTTTCCAAAACACCGGGAAAGACTGTCCTCAGAATTAACAACAAGGTGGTAGAACAAGTATCGTCTATAAAGTATCTAGGAGCCCTAGTTAACGACGCTTGCGACCCCAAAACTGAAATTTTAGCGAAGATCGAACAGGCCAGACGCACTTTTGCTTCCATGAAAACCCTCTTCTCCAGCCGAGATCTAAGCCTCGAACTGCGCATACGTATGCTGCGTTGCTACATCTTTCCAGTATTTCTCTACGGTTCTGAGACTTGGACACTCAATCAGACACTGGAAAACCGCATTAACGCTTTTGAGATGTACTTGTATCCTGGATGGATAGGGTGACAAATAAGGAGGTACTCAGGCGGCTGGGCAAAGATAAAGAGCACCTATCAACAGTGAAGGAAAGGAAGTTACAGTACGTCGGTCACATCATGACGGGTGAACGATACGAGGTGCTCAGACTGGTCATCGAGGGCAAAATTGAGGGCAGGAGGTCAGTGGGAAGAAGGCAAAACTCCTGGCTAGGGGATCTGCATCGTTGGTTCGGAAGAACATCGATCGAGATTTTCAGAGGTGCGGTTTCACGCACCATCGTAGCCATTTGGATCGCCAATCTCCGAAGGGAGACGGCGGCCAAAGAAGAAGAAGAACTGGTTTTTAGTTTCTAATTTATTAATAAAATAAGATCCTATAATTCACAGCCTTAGATTGACGATTTGATTGTCTAAAAAGAGTCATTTTTGACGACTGTTAAAGTGAACCACCCTGTATTAATGAATAAATAATAACAACGTACGATAATCCATTAGTCAATGGTAAATTATTTGATGAATTAATTCTGTTTTTTATAATAATGTGGGTGTTAAAATAGTTCGATAATATTTTCTCAGTTTAATTAGAAACAATGACATCACTCATCTTACAAATAAAAACAAAAGCGACCTTGAATATGATAATTGAATTCGAGAAATAACTAATTTAATAAAACTATAGCACTTTTATTTAAATTATTTATATTTTTTTATTATTTTCAGTTTGTACTACATACTTATTTGTTTTGTTTTTTTTTCTTTTATACATTTTGATCTGACTTCGGTAAAGTTGTACTTCTTGCAACGTTATATTTTTTGTGTTAAACTGTTAGTATTCCTTTAAAAAAAGCATTAAAATTATGTATTATTTACGTAATTGTCGTTGTATAGAGTGACCATTTGCTTCTTCATGTCTACGGTGCTCCTACTTATATTAAGGTTTCTTTTTCATTTGACTGTTGATGTCTCCAAGTATCTGTATTGATATCTTTGAATAAAAATATTATAGTTTAAGATCCGACTGCAGGATTAGTACGTTCATCATGTAGTTAATCAAAATCTAATTTTTACGTATATTTATGAGTGGGGAAATACACTTTTAACAGATTGCCAATCAAAAAGTTGCCAACACGATATATTTAATTATTCAAAAGTTTAATCAAATTAATATTAATTGATGTTCGAAACAAAATTTCGTTAATAATGTAGATTCATCATTTATATATCAAATTAAAGCTATTTTTATTCTGTGCATGATGTTATAAGGTTACTAATAAACTGCGAGCAAATAGGGGTTGCCACGATTCAAACAGTAGTAGGAACGACTTATACGCGTCCACCAATAGTGCGTCGGGCATCGGGCTTGTATTAATGCAAGGAAAAAACTTATGTATAAGTGCAAACATAATGTATGTATTAGGATGTATTTCAGGAAAATATTTTAAACTTCTACAGGGTGGCTCAAAAAAGTGTGAGTGGATCGGGATTATTTTTTCAATGGAATACCCTGTATATTACTGCATTTTTGGCTTTCTTCCTGATCACTTTACATAGATAGATATTATTAAATATGTTTTGATAGTTTCTGAAATATTAATAAATAAATAAAAAATATATTTTTCAGCATGTTTTAAAAAAATTAATAAATGTACTACATATATATTTAATAAATTAATACAAGAAACGTCCTGGAATCAAAACTATACTAGGTATTTACAATAAATGGTCTGTGCTTACTTTGCTATAAATATAGTAATCTTAAACCATACAGGGTGTTCAAAATTCTATGCCAAACTTTCTAAAATATAAAATAATTTTTCTTTGTTTTTTTTAATGTCTTTGTTAAATGGAACATTTTTTGTATTTAAATTATATCAAAATCTGTCCTTTGTATCAAAATCAGTCCGGTATTTTACCATTGAAAGAGCCATATGTATTAAAACCGCGAATATTTGCGAAACCGTTAAAAACTTTAACGTCAAAGAGAACTGTCAAAAATGAGGTTCATGATATTAATTCCGTCTCGAACGTATGAATACATGGATAGCATTATATAGCTCCTTCCTTAATGTTTTTATTCAAAAGTATCGACCATAAACAATATTCAAATTAGGGATTTAATAAATAATTCATGAATTCCGTACGCCACTGGCTGCATGCGAGTTATAAAAACAAACCAAAGATATGCGTGACGCTTGGGTGTCACACCAAATTCCTAAAGAGAAATTATGGGCAAGTTTCTATTTACTGCACGTCTAAAACTGTTTTAATTAGTTTATATTCAGAGACTTTGTTTTTATTTTGATTGTATGTGTTCCGTGTCTTAAATCATATAGGTAAAACTTATATTCTGAATTAAAATATTAGTATACAGGGTGTCGAATACTTTTCGACGTCGAACTTTTTACTTTTCTAAATTAATCATAAATTTTTCTTCGAAAAAATTATGATAAAATAGTTTCTGTTGAACTTTTAGCACAAAAACATTTCAAATTTACGATTTCAGTCTACTAAACAACATGTATAATTTATGTCAATCATGACAGATATTGATAATTTCGATTCTAAATATCTCGAGAACTATTACTCGTAGCAATTTTAACCAAGAAACCTTTTTTACGTAATTACGTTAGCGTCAAATTAATCATTTGTAATAATGATGATAAAGCAAAGCAAGAATTTTCATTAACATACAAACTGGATAAAATTTTCTCACATTTATGTCAGCATGAGAAAAAACAATATGGCGATATTATTATATAACTTGGTAATATTTGAGGGGTAGTTTCATCTCGTTGGAATTTGACTTTCGAAAAATCCGTTTAAGCAGAATCGTGGTTAATCAATTACCCAACTTTTTGGAACACCCTGTATGATTTTTTTTAAAAATTCAAATTATGTAAAAATACAAAATAAATTATGCTTGTCCAAGCGTTTTCCCAAAAGACTAACCGTTTTTTAAATAACAAATATTGTAATATTTGAGAGGCGTTTTCACCCTCTTGGAATTTGAGATTCGAGAAACCCCTCCTTATCGAACCAGTACACCCTACAGTCAATCCGTTTGCCAAAAATCAGCTTTAAACGTCAAGCAGTTTAAGCAGAATCGTGATTACTGAATGATCGTATTTTATGAAACATCCTGTATAAATTTATAAAAAATCTTAAAATATGTAAAACAACAAAATAAAATATACGTATTTAAGAGTTTTTCCGAAAAACTCACCGGTTTTTAAATAAAAAATATTTTAATATTTGAGGGATAGTTTCACCCCCTTAGAATTCGAGTTTCGAAAAATTCCTTCTTATCGAACCTCTACACCCTAAATTCAATCTGTTTTCCAAAAATCAGCTTTCTACGTCAAGCGCTTTAAGCAGGATCGTGATTAATCAATGACCAGATTTTTCGAAACACCCTGTATACATTTTTAAAAAATCTCAAAATATGTAAAAAAACAAAATAAAATATACGTGTTTAAGCGTTTTTTCGGAAACTTGACCGTTTTTTAAATAAAAAATATTGTAATATATGAGGGGTGGTTTCACCCTCTTGGAACTGGAATTTCGAAAAATCCCTTCTTATCGAACCTCTACACCCTAGAGTCAAGCTGTATGCCAAAATTGAGCTTCTTACGTTGAGTGGTTTGAGCAGGATCGTGATTAATCAGTATGTCAGTCACTTAAGGATTTTATATATTAGTATAGATACCTAGTTTAATTATTGTTGACTTTGTTAATTATTTACTTGTCGATTAAATAGTTATTTTTTACATGAATCAGATCAGTTGTGATTTCAATGACCCCGGACACAAAGAGAAATATACAGGGTGACCAAGTGTTTTCAAAACAGATTCCTTATATAGTTTTCTATTTCAGATCTTCACTTCAATACATATTAACATTTTTTCTGTTATTTTCAGGGAATGAGCGAATACGAACGAATACGGAGGGCTTGCCTTAAAAGGGGTGAACTGTGGGAGGATCCCGATTTTCCTGCAACGCAAGCTTCCGTATTCTACCACCAGACGCCGCCATTTCAGTTCACATGGAAACGACCAAAGGTAAGACAGAATGCGAAGCAAGCCATAAAAGACTTACTGTTAACATAATCATGAAAAACGAAGTAATTCGTTTAATAATTAGAACTCCTCTATGTTTACTTATTTCTCTGAGCTAGTATCGATAGCTTAAGGTGAACCCGGCTTAAAGCGATCAGGATTGAAGATATGCGCACCGGAAAAAAATAAAAAATGTGTATCATGAAAAACGAAGCAAATGGAGTGCAGCAAAACTAAAGTGGCCGCGTAGCTGAACGCTTCTCTAACTGTGATTCGCTTCAATGGTCGCATAGACAAAGAAATAATTTTCCATTGAGATGGTGATTTAGAAAGAATATAAAAACGGTTTATGGGTGTACTCTCTTGCCTGCACAGTGATACCTACCCTAGATCATATATACTTACGTGGATAAATCAACGCTATAAGTTTAGCATTAAAAAATATGTCTCCGACATCACAACATGCCATTTTCAAACCTTCTTTTTATTGCACTTAATAAAACGTTCAATAGGTTTGTCTTTTCCGAAGACCTTACTTTGCGCATGCGTATTCAAAGTTGCATGTATTTCCAAAATAATCACAATTTCATACGGTTTAGAAAGTACAAATTATACATTGTTATGGAAACCAACAAAAAAGAAGATAGATAGAAGGCATTGACATGTTTGCGACAGTTTCCATAATTATTTACTTATCCACGTAAGCATATTATGATCTAGGGTACCTACAAACACACATACTGTAAATATAAAACTCGTTAAAAAATGCGAAGACTCCGTCGCGTCGTGCCGTGGAATCATGGAACACCTGAATCACTTTGGGAACTAAAGTTTTAAAGTTTACTTTAAAATCATGAATAGATATTCTTCATCAAATGTATGAATATAAAAATTCACAACAGAATCTGTTGCTTGTTTTTTAAATGACTTTCTGTCACTATATATCACTAAATTTCTCTTTTAAAAGACATAAACGCTTCTAAAACGCAATAAAAAAAACTCACGTTCCCTAGATTTCACTCGAATATACGTAAAAACTTGGCATATACCATCTGGTTTTGAAAAGTCTTAAGATGAACTTAACTGGAGCAACTAGTGTGAGCTAGGGATGTTCATTTAGGAAAATTATCGATAGACGTCGTTGCCACAATACATATATCGATAATTTTTCACAAAAAATATTGATATTTAATTATATTTAAGTCTAAGTTATATTACCTAGGTCTTAAGATCAATATTAAAGAAAAACTAAACTGATGAGAGTTTCTACCAAAAATGTTGCTCCCTTTATCGTTGGAAAAAAAAACATACAGAGGAGGTAAATCATTTTACTTACTTGGGTAGTATAATCTTAACCAACAGGTTTTATATATGAAAACGTAATTAATTAATTAAAATTTCCGATTTTTTCGTAAATACTAATTTCCACCGTGTATTTCGGTACCTTTGTAATTTTAAAACTATCGATATTTTTTAAGTCGATACTTTTTGACCGTCCCTAGTCTGAAAAGCCTCTCGATATTATCTCGATATCGGGATTAATCATTTTAGGACAAGCAAAATTTCTTTATGAAGAATGCCTTTTTCTCAAAATGTCAGTAAGAAAAAAGTTTTTCCTCTTGTAAAGACAATCCGGGGACATACTGTATACCGATTATTAAAAAAACAACTATCGATATTTTTTACATATCGATACTTTTTGACCGTCCCTAGTTCGAAAAGACTTAACCTGAAGTTAACCGGAGGGACGAACGCTAGGCCTTAGAGTGATTTTTACCACTAATGTCGAGCAAAATCTGGTTCGGAGCAACATTCTGTAGAAAATGCACCGGCTATCTCGACGATAAAATTTATGGAAGCGAACTGAAAGCGGCGATTATGTCTAGTCTATGAAATTTTTCGAATACTATCGATACTTGCGCTGTTTTTATTTCAAATAAAACAAGTTTTTAAAAATCAAACGGTCTAAGTTAGCCCTTAACGGCTACACTGAATAATTTTCCTTTAATCGCTACAGAGGGGTATGTTGGACACCTCTATTAAATTACATAGATATAGAGGCCAACTTATTTTTTTAAATACAAACCTGCATTTTTTATTTCAGGTTTTGAAAGAACTCGTTCTCCTGAGTACAATGATAGGCCATACTTATTTTTTTTTTGTTTCGGACATTTGAACACAATTTATTTAATATAATTTCAAGTCCGGCTCTGTTTTTTTATATTTAATCTATTCGTAGTTACAATATCTGTGTACAATTATTACTTACTAGCGTGTACCCGCGACTTCGTTCGTGTCGAATTAATCATTTGTAATGGTGATGATAAAGCAAAGCAAGAATTTCCATCAACATACAAACTGGATAAAATGTTCTCACATTTATGTCAGCATGAGAAAAAAACAATCGAGAAACCCTCCTTATCGAACCTGTACACCCCACAGTCAATTCGTTTGCCAGAAATCAGCTTTAAACGTCAAGCAGTTTAAGCAGAATCGTGATTACTCAATGATCATATTTTATGAAATACCCTATATAAATTTTTAAAAAATCTTAAAATACGTATAAGAACAAAATAAAATATACGTGTTTAAGAGTTATTCCGAAAAACTCGCCGGTTTTTAAATTAAAAATATACTAAGGGGGTGGTTTCACCCCCTTAGAATTCGAGTTTCGAAAAATCCCTTCTTATCGAACCTCTACACCCTAAAGTCAATCCGTTTTCCAAAAATCAGCTTTTTACGTCAAGCGCTTTAAGCAGGATCGTGATTAATCAATGACCAGATTTTTCGAAGCACCCTGTATACATTTTTAAAAAATCTTAAAATATGTATAAAATAACAAAATAAAATATACGTGTTTAAGCGTTTTTTCGGAAACTTGACCGTTTTTTAAATAAAAAATTTTGTAATATTTGAGGGGTGGTTTCACCCCCTTGGAACTGGAATTTCGAAAAATCCCTTCTTATCGAACCTCTAGAATCAACCTGTATGCCAAAATTGAGCTTCTTACGTTCAGTGGTTTTAGCAGGATCGTGATTAATCAGTGAATCAGTCACATTAGTATAGATAATATCGATTGGCTTTCAAACTTAACAATGACGTGGAGTAAAACTTTGAATACGGAAAATCAAATGCAATAAAATAATTAAAAATAATATGTAATAAATAATATAAATATAATATAATATAAACATAATATAATATAAACAATCAAATCATTTCCTCTGAAGATGAATTGGAAATTGTAGAGCAGTATAATGGCCAGCGAGGGTCCTGGTTGTAAAAGTGAAATCAATACATTTCAGCATTTACAATAAAGAGTACAAAATGCATTCGGAAGTATACGAAGAAGATCTGTTCAAAGAGCTATAAAAATTGAACAAAAAATAAATTTGTGCAATAGAGAGGGTGGTAACCCTTTCGAACATGTAGAGCATTAATTAGAAACTATTGTATAGAAGTTGATTTATTTATAATAACTGCGATTAATATGATGCATATTATTATATCGTATACTGAGCTTTAAAATTCACAATAAACATTTTAAAATAATATCCTTAAATTGCTGAGTGGGATATTATTTATTTGAATTTTTCAATTGGCTCGATTTTCCTTATTTAATGTTAATCAGCGCTGATCAATATTATTGCGATGAATATAACCAGATTAAATAATTTAAAAACCAGAGTCGGACTTGCAATTATTTTAAATATATATAAACGGGATTTGGTATAAGTATTTGATACTTTTTTCCAACTGCAGCCTATTGCTGCTTTCCCGTTACCCTACGCCACACGTCTCGATTTAGTGCGTCATCAGCTTCTAGGTTATGCTTCCTTATGTATCCATTGCTTCCTTAACCGTTCCGTTCCAGGATTTTCTAGGTCTGCCTCTCTTTCTTCTACCCTGGGGAGTCCATTGAAAAACTTTTCTTGGCCACCTGTTCTCCGGCATACGTAGAGCATGTCCAAACCACTTTAAGCTGGATTTTTCCAATTCGATCTAGCACTGTCTCCTCCGATGCATTCATGATACGCCTGACCTCGATGTTTGTCTTTTTTTTTTCCATCCTAGATATACCTGCGCTCCTTCTAAAGATAGTCCATTTCAACAACTTGATTTTTTGCGCTTCGTATCTGCACTCAAAGTCCATAGCTCTGAACCATAGCAAAGAACTGACTTCACCAATGTTCGTCCAAGTCTCTTTTTAGTTGTTGCAGACAAGTTTCGGTCCCACCAGAGGCTATTAAGACAACCAATAACTTGTTCTGTTTCTTCTGAATTCGGGTTTGTATTTCTCTTTCTTTGCCCAAACCCTCGTTGTTGATAGTAGCACCCAGGTATTTAAATTTGTCTACTTGTTGAATCTGGACGTTATCATCTATGAAGACTTCAAACAAGCGTTGGAATTGACAGCTAAGTATTCTGTCTTTTTTTAGACTAACCTGAAGTCCCCATTTGTTATATTCTTGGTAAAGCCTCTAGTCATGAACTCCAGATCGAAAGAGTCCTGCGCAATCACGACCTGATCGTCTGCAAAGCTCAGAGTAAACAGTGTATCTTCCCCAATGGGTATTCCCATGCCTTGGCATCTCCTCTTCCATTCCCTAAGGGCTACTTCAACGTAAGCATTGAAGATTAGAGGTGATAAGCTGCATCCTTGTCGCAACCCTTTTGTGGTATTTATTGGATTGGATAGCCTATAGAATTATTTTAAATAATAATTAAAGAGTTTTGTAGTTGTTAAGATATCCAAAACAAAAAAAAGTATAAAGTGTGACATATTATTATACTCGGGACACCGAGTTCTTTCAAAAACTGAAATAAAAACTGGAGGTCCGTATTTAAAAAAAAATAAGTTGGCCTCTGTATCTCACAAATTATCAGCTAATTTGAAAATCTAAAAATACTGTCAGATAGCCCTAATAAAGTGGCTATGAGAATGTGCAATTGGTTTTTTGATTTTCTAAAAGGTAACGACAGGAAAAAATAAAATTGATTTTCAAAAAAATCGTTTTTTTCCAAAAAACTCAGCAATCCTTGAAATTTTTAAAACTTTTTTGATGGCATCTTGTTGAACAACCCAAAGCGCAACTTTGCCCCAATTTAACCATCTTCGTATCTAATACGGTTTCCGAGATACCAATGCTCGTATCCCGAATTTGTAGCACCCTGTATAGACACCCGGTATATCAGTTATTAATCGATAATCGATATTGACCACTCGAACAGTTCGAGGAACGCATTCGTGTCTCGCAATCTCAATGGAAATGAGCTGAAAAAAACACAAGCAGGTGACGTAAATTTCGATTAAGTCAGAGACCCTGAGCTCCATCGGAATCGTACAATACTGTCGCCCACAGAGCAGCTAAGCAAAAATCCGAAATCGCGTATAATTTATAATCCCACAGATGCAACACACCTACGTCACTAGGCACTGGTTGACACTAGAGGTGAAGACGATGACCAGAAATGGTCAGACTTGAGGTGGAGCAACCAGTCATATTTCGACATTTCGAAATTGCGAATTTTTAAGCAGAAATTGGATTGTTTTTTAACTAAATAAATAGTATACTTGTACAAGATTTTTAGGGACATTTAGTGCGATACCTGAGCAGACTTATACAGGGTAAGCCTTAAATAAGAGCAAATATTTTTAAGGGTAGTATATTTTGACCCCAAAAAAACGGTTAAGTATGAAGTTTTTTCGCCAAAAAAAAATGACAACTTTTGAGAATTTTTTTATTTTTTTTTTAAAATTTTTAATTCATAATATGACAGTTTTCTACCCCGATGAAGGTGCCCGGTGGCGTAGAGGTACAGGCTCTCGTCTACCAATCTCAAGGTAGTGGGTTCGAATCCCACACCCGGCATTTCATCAGCCGACTATTTTTATTAAAATAAAAATAGTTTGGGTACCTAGGTCGACTCGGCCTTAAATGAGTACTTGGGACTCACAATCCTGAGGTAATAATAGGCGGTTGAAGCGTAGTGCTAGCCACATTACCTTCCTTCTATACCGAAGGGCTCTAGTATGGCAAGCTGTACCTTGCTACTCCCAAGGCGTTAAACGCTTATATACGGGAGCTATTATTATTATATCTACCCCGATGAAAAATAAGATTGTGGCAAGACTGGGTAACGATCTGTGCCATACGGGGTAAACCAAAGAAAACCACTATAATAAACTTGATACTGTACACTGTACCAACCTTGATGTGTACTAATATCCTCTGACTGTGTGCTAGGAAGTAAATTTTCATGCATATTTTCATTCATATTTATGTGGCTTCTGAATAACGGTCTAGGTAAAGCAGCCAGCTCAATTGCCAGCTCAGAACTAGAATTTAGAGTTAGTATTTTTCATTGGAAGACACTGTTATATTTATTTCAAACCAATAAACAACGAGAATATTCGTACAATTTAATAAAATTACTGTCTTCTTCTTCTTAAGGTGCCGTGCAGATTCCTGCGTAGGCGTTCATCTTTTTCTTCCTCATCAGATGGTTCTGTTAACTGCCGCGACTTGGAGTGCTTGGAAGTCCTGTATGCCTGTCCAATGACGAATATTTCTCAGCCAGGATAGCTTCCTTCGTCCTATCCCCTTTTGCCCCTCTATTTTACCCTGGAGAATCAGACGCTGAAAGTGATAGCGTTCTCCACGTAGTATGTGTCCCAAATAGGCTATTTTCTCTTCTTGATGATTTCAGAAGAGTTCACGTTGTTCCAGACCAGCTCTTCTGAGAATGCCTTCATTCCTCACACGGTCGACCCAGGGCACTCTTAGCATTCGTCATAGGGTCCACATTTCGAAGGCTTCAATTCGGTTTATTGTTGCTACCTTGAGTGTCCATGCTTCCACACCATATAACAAAACGGACCATGACACTTCACCATTCTGTATCTAAGGCCGAAGTTCAAATTCCTATCCGTGAGAAATCTTCGCAGTCTCAGAAAAGTAGATCTTGCTTGTTCGATCAGTCTTTGACTTTCACTGTTAACCTTATTTAGAAGGATTTGAAGATCCTTTGCATTGAAGATCCTTTGATTTGAAGATCCTTGTCATCCGCATATCGGATATTATTAATTGGAATACCATTTATTTTCAAACCAATGGGACTATCGGAGATTGACTCAGTGAATGCTCTTTCCACATTTAAATTGAACAACTTTGGAGACAGAATACACCCTTGCCTTACCCCCTTTTTTATTTCAAAATCTTCTGTTACTCCCACGCTATGTATACGAATTTCAGCTTTTTGGTTCCAATACAAATTACTGATGAGCCTTATATCTTTTCCATCAAGTCCCAAGTCTCTGAGGTATGATATAAGGAGGTTATGTTTAACGTTATCGAACGCCTTTTTCATAGTCTATAAAGCACATGAAGACATCTTTTCTCTGATCTTGGCAATTCTGTACTAAAGTTTGAAGACTGAATATGGCTTCTCTAATTACCAAAGCAGTTCTTAAATCCAAATTGACTTTTCTCAACTTACTTCTCTCATTTTTGTAGAGTCTTGTATGCAGTACCCGTAAAAAAAGAGCTTAAGAAAGTGGCTCATTAGACTAATAAGACGATACTCTTACACGAAGTTGCGTTACTTGACTTGGGCAGCGTGATAAACGTAGAACGAAGCCAGTCTTCAGGGATGTGACCGGTGTCATAGATGTTATTGAAAAGCTGTACTATAGTTTTTAAGTTTTGTTCATTAATTAAGTGGAACGTTTCCGAATATATATCATCAGGCCCTGGAGTTTTATCGTTTTTCATTAATCTAATCGCATGAATAATTTTACTTTCCAATATGCTTGGTCCTGATGGCATGGGAATCTCAGTTTCAGGGTTTTCTGATCTTTCGTCGTTGAAAAGATTAATGGTTCAATTTTTCCAAGTTTGCAATAGTTCTTCTGTTTCCGTTATAATTTTATTTTCATCAGTTTTAATTAGGGTTATTGATTTATTATAGTGTAACCCAGCTATCTCTTTCACTTTCTTGTGAAGATGGAAACTGTCTCCAAGGTGACTGAGATTTTCGGCCTCTCTACATCTCTCCTTCAACCATGTCTCTTTTGCCGTTCTTATTTTATTACGAATTTTTCTTTGCATAGATTTATATTCGTTGTGATTATTCTGGATTTTAAATTGTCTTCGTTGTTCCATCATTTTTAAAATATCTTCAGTCATCCACTCGTTTTTCGCTGTTGTTCGATTAGCCGTGAGGAGGTTTTCATTTGTGTTCTTGAAAGCTTGCTTAATGCCCAGCCAATGTTTCTCAATGTCATTTGTACTGACAATACTTTCCAATTCTCTATTTATATGGTTCTCATACATTGATCTTGTCTGCTGGTCTCTGAGAAGTTTTGGATCCAAGTTCTTTCTCAAGCTTTTTCGTTTAGGTTTGGTAAAACGCAATAGGATGTTGGCACGTAATGGATTATGGTCCGATTCAATATATAAAATTATTTATTTTATTATTATTATTTATTAATTATATTCAATATATAAAATTACTGTAAGTCACTATAAATAATGAATAATGAACAAAACATTTAAATAAAAACAGACCACAGACCACACAAAATAAATTGTTGGGTAGTAGTAGTCAGATATATAGATGTAGTAATATTTTGATTTAATGTATAGAGAAAATATGTTTCTTTTGTCGAGATCTACCAGCCCTGAAAATATTTGCACTTATTTAAGACTCACCCTGTATATTTATTTTTTTAAAAATATAGTACTATTTAGTGTTTATATCATATTAATGTAGATTAGTATAAGCATCAGGGATTTTATAGACATTATTTTCTATATTCTTGTTTCAGGATTTATGTCCCAGGCCTGGATTTATACAGGATGGACCAACTCCATTCGATATCAGTCCTGGAAAAATGGGTAAGTTTCAATAGAACCATAATTTGATTATTATAAAACTTAACAACATTCAAAACAATAATTAATTTATGAGTATTGATTTTAGTGTTCGTAAATACGTTTTTTATGTTGTCTTTTTATAATATACTTGTTTTTTTTTTCATTTACATTGTAGTTTATTTTATGTCTATGTTTAAGTGTCTGGTTTTCTTGCATGTATATGAGCCGTACGATAAATAAATAAATAAATAAATTATTTTATTTATTTATTTCATCCCTTCTCGGGGATAAATTTAAAAATCTTTCACAATTTGTTTTTAGATCTTTCAAAGCTTACATCAAAAATTTAAGTTTTTTAGTTACATCATAACGTTAAAATATTCTTGTGTTCTGTATTCAGTGTTGAGAACAATGTATAATCCATTATATCACCATAAAGCAATGATGACGATGATGTCAGATGGGAATTATATAGGATTAAAAATTATACAGTAATTTTTAATACTATGCAAGAATAATTTCGAAGCTATTTAATAATCATAACGTTCAGTTGGATGACCTTGGATCTAGTAAAAGTGACCGCTATAGTGGGAATCAATTAAGTTATACAGACCGGAAATTCTTAACATTGATTATTTCTAAATTATATATTTTTCTGTATACACATTGTAGATTGAATAGGAGTAGGCCCTCTTTCCTGAGTTATAATTTATCATACAGTCTCAGGGTTTTCACAAAAGCCAGTATCTAAGACGGTTTTACAGAGGTTAGTTCTCCATCTCCGATATTAGTCGTACCAAAGTTTATGGCATGAATGGTTGTTGTTTCGGCGCATTTAGTGATGAGGTGTTCCGGTGTTTCCCCATTTTCCCCACAGAATCTGCATTTGTCGTTGTTTCTTACCCCTTGTTAAAACCCCGTGATAATCCGAAGACTGTTCCTACTTAAATCAAGGAAAATATTTGATTTTTTTCGGTCGTAAGTCCTTAGAAAGTTCTTCGAGTGTTTTGGACCGTTGGGGGATTCCCATTCCAGTTAGGGATGGATTCTTCTTCCAGGTTCTTGAGTTCTACTTTCCCTCGATTTCTAAATTCCTTTTACCAGCGTTTTATTGAGTCTTCTGATTTTACGAGCTGTAAAAATGACATTATAACGCGTTTTTGGTGTAAATAGACAATAAATGATCCATTTAAATAGATAAGAACAATGAAACTTGTGTATATCGCGCTACGATAATGAAGAAAAAAGTGTTCACTCACGTTTCCGCTATCTTTCACTTCTGAATGCTCCAAAAGAAAATGACACGCTCTGGGAGCACGTGATTTACGATTATTATTATTATGATTATAATTGCAAAATAATCGTTGTGCGTTGTTCTGTAACTAGATAGGTACTTTCCCTTTCATACACGCGTACCAATTATTTATTTTTTACAGAAAAAAGACACGAGTTCGGAGAATTTATGTCTGTTTGTTTTTGTTGTGAGAAAAAATAAAAAAATGTAATAAAATTAGTAGTTTTTATGTTTTGACACTGAATAAAAAATATTAAGGAATAAGGAGTATAGTGCTGCTATCCACATGTATTTTTGTATTAGAGAAAAATGTGACAATATAATGCGCTAATATTTGTTTACAGTTTGTTCACGCCTGCAGGGATAGCGCATCCTGTCGGCGAGTACTATATTTCCTGCTGCAAGTTACTAACAGAATGTTAATTGGGTTGTTTTATTCAATTATAATTGCGCTGGTGACTCAGGCATATTTTTCTACAAAGTAACTCAGACATTATTATTTATTAAAATCAATATTTTTACTTAGTAAAATATTGATTATTATTGACAATAGGTCAGGTGATCGAGGAGGCCCATGCAATTGGTCCACCTCTTCCTATCCCTGCATTATTATGATATAAATAATTTTTAACATTTCTTTTATTATGGGGGGAGGTATAATGAAAGTCATGTTGGAACCACTCTATTGATGCACGAGTATCTACATGCTCTTCTTAACTTGAAAATTTCATATTTACAATTTTTGTTTATTTTAATTTACAAAGTTTGGATGTGACAGCTTCACATTTCTGAAAGCAACGGCGATTGAACTTGTTTCCATGGCTAACTAAGTGAAATTGTTTAAAAATTATAAGAATTGGCTATAACTCAGTAATTTTTTGAAAAAAAAACATATTATAGCTTATATTGCTGTAAAGCTTGAAAAACGGCGCTTTTTATGAAGTCATGGCCAACTATGGTTTCCATTTAAAAAAACATAAGTTTGTGTTATATGTCAAAAATGACAGGCTTTAGAAAAAAACGGAGAACACAGTCTCATTAAGGATGTGATTATCTACAAATTTTATCTGAGAACTTTTTGTCTAAAATAGCTTATAATGGAATTAGGGACAATTTTTAAAATAGCCAAAATTTGTTTTTTTCGAAATATCTAGTAAGCCATGAACTTTTTCAAAAATCTGAAAGGCGCATATTTATGATCCCACAAAACTGCAATTCTTTCCCCATTTAACCGAGTCTCTATCTCCAGTAGTTTCCGAGATACCCATAGAGAACATCGTAGGAAACTCACCCTGTATGTAATTGTTTTGGGTCGCCACCGTTGTATGCGATCTGGCGCTGCTATAGCTGTTGCTAAGAACAACCGCAAACAAAAACAGAAACAATTTTCTCTTGTCAAAGTTAGAATCTTCAAAAATTATAAAATCTTTCAAAATTTAAACCGCCATCTTTGAAAAAATACCGAAAAGTGTTTAAAGCGCCCATTCTCAAAGTAATTATTGCTATCTTGTGAGTTTAATTTAAATTTTACTTACGCAAACCCGTAATAATTGTGAAAAAGTGGCATTAAAAACTAAAAAACTGTGTTGTGAACTGGGAACTGCAAAAACTATCCCGGATCGTGGCATAACGTCGGTTTCCAATGTTTCATAGTTATTTCACATACATATCCTTATACAAAATAAAGTTTCTTGTGTGCAACACACTGTATTTTATTTATAAAATTAAAAGAAAATAATAATAAATTTGAATAAACAATATTTGGCGACATAATTTCGGAAATAGCTGAACCGATTCGAAATTATCAAAAGCTTTGGGTCGCGACCGTTGCAAGAATAGCGCCAAATAGTGTTTGCATTGTCCTTATGGGCACTTTCCAATCTAAACTTGTTTCATTTATCTATGCATTCTCTGCATTTTGCACAGGTTTTGCCTTGCTGTACGTTGCTCTAGTTTTGTGTACCAAGCAACTGCTCCATGGGTAATCATGGGTCTTACTATCTGCCCCTCTATTTCCCGCCAGTCTCCTGCATATTACGAGAGCCTTTGTAGCTTTGCTGGTAATGCTCTTAGTTACCTTAATTTAATCAATACTCCACACTTCATTTTCTTCAATATGGACGAAAAAAATAACTGTCAAACCAAGCATCAAAAATGTCTAATCATTACAGAGGGTCTTTCATGACGCGCGCAAACAAATTTACTCTTTTTTTATAAACTAAAACGTCGATTTTAAGAGAGTAATACCATAAATAAATCTCTAAAATATTCCTCACGAGCCGCCACTGCCTATAGAACCGCTTTGATTGATTAATGCGCGTACCAGATACGTGCGAGTATATAAGTATATGTAGGTATTTACGTTATTAATCGCATTATTTCAAATTCAAAATGGTCGGGGAACAACCAGTAACGACCCAGGAGAAAGTGAACGAAAACTTTCGTTCCAAGGATTAACATAACCTTGACGTGCGTTATTTCTGCCTGCGCTAGATCATAATTAATATTTAATATGATTTTTTCTGGTTTTCTGGCTCGCACATAGCTAAGCAAGCCCCCTCTACACGTAACGTTTTACCTGTCAGTTTTACGTGTCAGGTAAAACGGCAGATTGTTTAATAAGTAGGCCTAAATGGCCTAAGCATGTGTATGGAACATGTAGGCCTAGACAATGTCTGGATTTTTTTTTATAAAACTGATTCGATATGGGATTTTATCTTCACAAATTGATACTCATTATGAAAATAGTATTGTTTGATAATAACATATATATCTAAACAATTTTTTAAAATTGCTTTATTTGTGCAAACTATACAGGGTGGTCTGAACTGTATTCCGGAAACTTCGACAGCATATTCTGCTGATAAAAATAAGTAAAAAAGTTCGTATAAATGTATGTCCAAAAAGGCTTAGTTTCGGAGATACAGGGTGTAGAAGTTTCATTTTTATTTCGATTTTTCCCAAATAATTTCTGAAGTAACGTCAATATTTGGATGAAAATTGGTGGATCGGTGTTTTTTGACATGAGAAATTTGATTTTGATGTCAATATGACTCGCATTTGTAGGTGGCACCCACACAAATTTCTCATGTCAAAAAACTCCCAGACACCAATTTTTATCAAAATATTGACGTTACTTCAAAAATTATTTGGAAAAATCAAAATAAAAATGAAACTTCTACACCCTGTATCTCCAAAACTAAGCATTTTAGGACATAAATTTATACGAACTTTTTTACTTATTTTTATCTGCAGAATATGCTGCCGAAGTTTCATGAATACAGTTCGGACCACCCTGTAACACAAGTATTTCTTTTTGTTCTAGGTGATAGGTGGCTGGTGTCATGTTTAGGCGTTTTATATTTAAACAAAGGCTTGTTCTACCGAGTGGTACCGGCTGATCAGTCATTTGGTGGTGACCAATACTGTGGACTATTTCGATTTAGGTAAAAAATATGTGCACTTATTTAAGACTCACCCTGTATATTTTGATATTTCTCTGTTTTTAGATTATGGTGGTGCGGCGAATGGACGGAAGTCTTGGTTGATGACCGCCTGCCCACTGTTCACGGTCGTTTGGCGTTTTTACAGTCGCAAAATTCCGACTATTTTTGGCCCGGTCTCTTGGAGAAGGCCTACGCAAAGTAAGTGTTATTTAACTCCTACTAATAAACTGCAGTTTTTAACAAAATGTTTTAGATTGCACGGATCGTACGAAGCGTTAAAATATGGCTCCTTATTGGACGGATTGGCTGATCTCACCGGAGGAATTACGGAAAGTATAGCTATAAGACAGGATGCCACTTCCTGTGCTAGGTGAGTATTTACTATCTTCATTTCTTTCTTCAGTTTCATTCTCATACTCTGAATCTTTGAGTTCTTCTTCAGTAAGTTCAACAATATATGGCTCAAGTAGGTCATTTTCATCTTCCTGATACAAATCATTATCGGCACTTCATAGGATTATATCAAATGACTTAATCACCATTAAATCTTGGTGCGATTCGAACCTCCTGAGTCTCAACATTTCTAAAACTAAAGCTTTGTCGTATAAAAACTCGCTGCAGCCTTTTGTACTTAACAACACCACCATTGACGTCGTAAAATCTGTAAAATTCTTAGGGCTTGTTGTGGACAATTCTCTGAAATGGGACACATATCGAAGCTTTGTCGAAAAAATTGAGCTCTGCCTGTTTTGCATTAAGGTCTGTTTCTAAGGAGCTTAACTTGTCAGTGGTTAGAACTGTTTATTATGCACTTTTTGAGTCGCACCTCAGGTATGCCCTTCCATTCTGGGGTCCGTGTTGTGCGACTCAATTTGACCGCATTTTCAAGCTCCAGAAGAGAGCTGTTCGATGTTCACTGGGACTAAACAGCAGAACTCATTGCCGGGACTTTTTTAAAGAATTAAAAATATTGACTCTTCCTTCCTTATTTATATTTGAATGCGTTTCCCTAATACGTAAACATGTATGAGCTTCTCACACACAAAAAAGGCCATCTCACACTTATCCACTCAGGAACGCGGAGCAAGATCTTTATCTACCTACCCCACGCTCAGAGTTAGTAAAAAGTTCAATATTATACAACTCGAAAAAAATGCACAATCACCTGCCATTTGAAATCAAATCCATAACATCATTTTTTTCATTTCGCAAAGCATTGAACTCTTATTTATTAGACAAGGCTTTCTACGCCGTAAATGAATTATATTTTGAAAATCGAATTTGATCATTAAATCCTTCTCGCAACGACTTTTCTGAATCAGCATTTTTTTTTTTAATTTGAATGACACTGAATAGTTTAAATTCTCCCATAAACTGCATTTCTACGAAAAAATTCTTTTATTAGAAAGTTGTAGTTAATCTAGATTTTTAACCTTTTTTGCTATCATTCGTTACGTGTGCTTTGTAATTAACATTTAAGGCATTTAAATAATTACTTTGTCTAACCTTTCTTATTCACCTTGAATTTCATTTTTAACTTTAAGTTTTCTTTTAGGCTGCTCCACAAATTGTTGGACATGACCTCGATAATCACGTGCGCAGTGCAGCCCCCCAACCAAGTCAGATCGCTCACGGAAAAACTAGACAATGGGATCCAAACGGGGGTCAACTATAGGATATACGCGGTGGACAGGTATACCTACAGCACTGTTAGAATTTTTTAAAGTATAGGTATACGACGTTTTAAAGTGCTCGAAAAGACTATAACTCGAAAACCTTGCGTTTTATCGCAAAACTCATACAAAGCAAAAATGAAGCTTTTGGAATAACTAAACGATTCATGTTTTGTTGATTACCGTCGTAGGTGTAATAATAGCCAAGTTATCACTCTGTAAAGGTGAGTTTTTATTTTTCGAAAACTAAACTGCAACATTTTTCTGAAAAAATGTTAAAGAACATTTTTTCTTAGAATTGATCCCTTTATTGATTTTTGTAATTTAAATGAGTGATTTTTCACCCCCGAAAAGGGGTAGCACTCACCCCCAGGGTGAAAGCACACATCGCTACTATGTAACTTTTATTTCTTATATATACAGGGTGTACCAGAAATAAGTGCAAGTATTTTAACTGGTAGTATAGTTCAACCCCAGAAACACGCCTATGAGATTTTTTTCGCGAAAAAAAAAGTTCGAAATTTTTTGAAATTTTTTTTTGGATTTTTTTTTGTTTTTAATTAAAAAACATAATTTCTTGATAATATTGCAACATAAGTATTAGATTAAATTTACAAGAAAGAAAATCCAGAAAAGGATCCAGTGGTTCTCAAAATTTAAGCAAAAAATATTTTTTTTTTGGAAATTTTCAAAGTAAAATAACTCCGTTATTTTGGACTTATTTGAAAAACGATAAAGAGAAAATATGTTTCTTTTATCGAGATCTACCACCCCTTAAAATACTTGCACTTATTTCTGGGATACCCTGTATATATCTATTCACTGTTAAAATTTCACGTCAGTCGGTGCGGGTGTCAAGGATTCGGAGGTAATACCCTACTGTTATTCTCGCTTACTGACCTAGTATGGATATTTGGAAAAATATAAACGGGATTATCCATCTTGGAACGAGGAAATTTTTTTTTAAGTTTTTCCTCTTGTAAAAACAATCTAGAGACACACTGTATAAATATTTTTCTTTTAATTATTTTATAGGGTAGAAACTTTCGACAACGAAACGCTGCAACTGATAAAAATCAGGAACCCGCTGGGTTCGGCTACGGAATACCTGGGTCCCATGGGCCTAGATTCACCCGAATGGTCTCAACTGCCTCCTCAGGAGTTCGAGAGGGTTCAAACGAAGTTCACCGAGGACGAGTTCTTCATGCCCTATTCGGAGTTTTTGAGAACCTTCACCCACTTGGAGGTGGTACATTTGGATAGCGATACCAGCAGAGATGAACCTAGGTAAGTAGGTCCACCGCTAGATTACACTCTGTGATGTGGCTATCGGCCTGTTGCACTGCGACGTTTTCAGATGTATCGTGGTCCTCTTCTGATCCTTAGGTTACTTTCTCCAGTCTTATACTACTGTTCAAAAAGTCTAGTAAGTTGGAAACCTCGTTGTAGACTAATAACTCCGTATAGCTCTTTGTCAGTGGCTTATATCATTGCTAAGTACAAAAAACCGCTCAGTTATAGTGTCTAAAATTCATATTGTTAAATCAGTAATATTACTGTTACAGTCTTCATAACAAGAATACGTGGCAGATGAGACTGTACCAAGGCAATTGGCAGAAAGGTGTGACAGCCGGTGGTTGTAGGAATAACCCAGATACGTTTCACATTAACCCCCAACTACACTTATTGCTAAGCGAAATGGAAGAAGTGGTAGTCTCTTTGAATCAGCATAGTATAATGGAGCCCAAAGTTATAGGTATATCAGTATTCATGTTTTATTATGTTTGTTGTTACTGTGTATTACAATCTGGTCAGGAATAACCAATCAAAACAAAAACAAAATGTAATGAACTGTCTAGTTGGCACTAGTGAGCAGAGATTTTAAAAGCAAAATTTCTCTATTGCAATACTGTTTACTGCCACCTGAATACTATATTTTGGTAGGATATTTAATATAGTTATATTTTTTCCAGGATTTACTGCATATTCCCTGCCCAAAAGCAATTCGGAAACCATAGGCAAAGCATTTTTTAAAAAGAATAAGTCTTTGTTCAACTCTCAGTACACCAACAGCAGGCAAATCAGTCATAGGTAAAAATATATTTATTATCTTTGTGTATTTTTTGACAAAACAATCAAATATACAGGGTGTTTCAAAAAAAATGCGAAAAACTTCAGGGGGTGATTCCTTGTTCAAAATAAAGGGTAGTTTGCTTCATAAACGTTGCGTCAAAAGTCAACCATTAGGGAGATATTGCGGTACAAAGATGGCGGAAAAATAATGTTTTTATTTTTTATCTTGAAAACGAAAAGAGATAGACTAATAAAATTTTATGGAAGCATTATTGTTATAAACACACTTTCTGGTAATTTTTTCTTTTTTTAAATGAGTGGAAGGGGGTTGAAATAAACTACCCCCTATCATTCTTGTTAACGAAATTTAAAGAAAAATCTTATCAAACACATGCAAAAAAATTAATTTGGATAGTTTAGTTTGTTTAGAAACTTTTTTTATCTCTTGTATTTTTTGATGAAACTCACCGATTTGAAATTAAAAATAAAATGTAAAGCATCACATGTCAGGACAAAAACATTTTCTGATAAAGAATCTAGTGGGCTGCTGTAATTTTTTAGGAAAAAATCTAGTCGGCCGCTGTTACTTTTAGGATGTTCCTAATATTATTTTATTTGACATTACTCTACTGCAATACGTTATTATCTAGATGATTATTATTATCGTTAGTATCACTAGATTCTTAATCTAAAAATGTTTTTTGTTCTGACATGTAATGCTTTACATTTTATTTTTTAATTTCCAATCGGTGAGTTTTATCAAAAAAACACAAAAGGTAAAAAGTTTCTAAACAAACTAAACTATCCAAATTAAAGCATTTGCATGTGTTTGATAAGATTTTCTTAAATTCGTTAACAAGAATGATAGGGTAGTTTATTTCAACCCCTTCCACTCATTTTAAAAAGTAAAAAATTACCTGAAAGTGTGTTTTCATAACAGTAATGCCTCCATAAAATTTCATTAGTCTATCTCTTTTCGTTTTCAAGATAAAAATAAAAAAAATATTTTTCCGCCATCTTTGTACCGCGATATCTCCCTAATGGTTGACTTTTGACCCAACGTTTATAAAGCAAACTACCCTTTATTTTGAACAAGGAATCACCCCCTAAAGTTTTTCGCATTTGTTTTGAAACACCCTGTATAATAACAAGTTAGAAATAGAGTATACTTTTATATAATTCCAATTTAACGTCATACACCTATATTTTTCATAATTTTTTGATCTACGATTCACGTTTACTTAACGTGACTACGATTGAGATTCAGGTGTGTAATAAAAAATAAAATAATTTGCCAACTAAATCAAAAACAAAACATCTTCTCTTGTCTTATTTTCGTAATTCCAATGAATATAAATAACATCAATACCTTTGTAGAGAGTTATTTTTTTTAACGAATTAAAGTTGGCGTCAATCCGGATTAGCACGATATCCGGATTATCGAGTCTCTACTGTGCTTATTTTTTCATAATTTTTGGTGCCTGATACACATTTCCTTTATGTAATTCTTCAGTAGATTTGTAATACCCGCAAATATGAGTAAAACACTTATTTTTTATGTTTTTTCAGATGCCAGTTGGAACAAGGTGGATACCTGATCATTCCCACCACATTCGAACCTGGACAAGAGTCTGGATTCACTCTCAGAGTCTATTCCAGCAAACCGCTCAAGCTTAAACTAGTCGATACCGTACCTTGTTTAGGTATGTTTACATCAATTCTCCTTCAGTATTGCTACGTTTTTCGTCGGTTCCCTGTGTATAGAAAGTCATAATTTATTTAAACACAATTTATTTACACTAAGTAACAAACAATAACGATTAAAAGACTTAAAGAACTACACACACCGGAAAAGTCTAGGGATATTAGAATTTTATCCAGCCATCGTCAGTAATTTTATTTTTTGCATTTCTGATATAATAAAATTAAAATAAACAAATAGTTTAGAGGACGTATTGGAAATAAAAATGCGAAATTTACCGAATTTTTCAAATTTACCTTGATTTTTATTGAACTCAGAAAAATACACAATTTTTTTTTATTCTAAACTGTGAATTAAAAAAAAAAGATAAAACCATTTTTACTTAATAACCGAACCAGATCCCTACTAGTTTCACGAGGCATACCCATTCTCAAAATTCTTCTTTGTACCGCGTCCCATACGTGCTCGATGGGGTTGAGGTCAGGGGATTGTGCCGGCCACGGTAAGATGTTTAATTGATGAGCATTGATAAACTCACTTATTACCACTCTGACTGTATGAGGCCGTGCATTGTCATGCATGAGAATGAAGTTTCTCCCAAAATCATTGGCATATGGTAACACGACAGGCTCAAGAATTAAATCACGCTATGTGATTCCTGTTAGAAACCTTTCAAGGAAAACGAGATCGGTTTTTCGGCCTAACTGGACTCCTCCCCAGACCATAACTGTTCCACCTTGATAAGGGTGTTCCTGAACATGATCCAACCGAATAAGATTTTCTGGTTCTCTCCATACCCTAAGCCTTCTCGAATCCGGATGAATTCCAAATGTTGACTTATCCGTGAAGAGAACTTTGGCCCATTGTTCATTCGACCACTGAATATGATCTTGAGCTCACAAATATCGTACCTCTCGTTAAGGGTTGAGCTCTCCAGGGACGTCTGCTTCTTAAATTGACCTCTCTTAATCTATTGCGGACAGTGTCAGGACTAACGGTTACATTATGTGTTTCCTGGAGAATTATACTAAGCTCTGGTGCTGTAAGAGTCGGTCGGCGTCGAGCATTTAATTGTAAAAAATGATCTTGCTGAGGGGTAGTAATGGATGTCGCCCTGTGTGCCTTTCAGAAACATCATCACTTTCACGGTAGCGTGCACTTAATCACGATATTACACTTTGCGTTGTATTTAATGCTCTAGGTACATCGATTTGGCGCATTCCAGCTTCGAGCATACCCATGGCCCTTAGCATTTCGTCTCTGTTAAGATGTCTACGCTCCATAACGTTGTTCAATACTAAACAAAATTACTTGAATAAATTCTGGCCAGTTATCATAAAAACATAGCGAGTACATGTTAAATTCGAACAATTGATGCTAGGTGCTTTTTATACATTTGACAAAAAATGCACAAACACTTCTGCAAATATCCCATATTTAGAAATAACTAGTGTGACTACTTCGTTTCAATCGAAGTAGAAAGAATCGGCCTACAAATATGTGGTTGTTTATTCAAAACATTTATTTTTAACTTTAATAAAATGATATCCCTAGATTTTTCCGGTGTGTGTATTTACAACTTATCTACAATTTATCTAACTATTTATCTAAAAGGAATTTATTTTGAATTTAGCGCGGCGATTGTAAATGTACGCGTCGACCGGTTGTTTTTTACTCTATCCTCTTCAGACCTCAGGCGTCGGCTTATATATGAGAGAAACAGACAATTCAGATTTGACTCGAAAATTCTTAGCTGCGTTCTCGAACTTTGCCGGGCGTATGAGTCATAGCCGAGTGGCCAGGCTTAGGCCAAGTTCACACGGGTCCGCAACAGTATTTATAATTATAGACAGGTATAAACTTTAAATAAGAACATTATGGAAGGAGCATATCTAGTCTATAGAGACGCTGTAAGGATAGAGTTCGCAAACTTAGTTTTGATAGATTGATTCTCGTATTTTTTAATCTTTTTATTGAAAGTGTAAAAGATAGAGAAATCAATATGCATTTTTTTGTTTATACATATATCTTGGATACCTTCGTTTTGTATAGTAATAATCTCATGTATTTTTTATTATTTTTAGTTAAATCAGCAATAGTCAAAGCCCCTCCACTTTTAGATGGAAAAAGTTTCAGTCAGTACGAAGCTGTGTTTTTGCAACTGGCCGACGAACATAGAACTGTCAACGCCTTCGAGCTCCAAGAACTTCTGGACGCGTGCTTACCAAATGACTACATCAAAAGCTGCGCATCGATCGAAGTTTGTAGGCAAATTGTCTTTACTTTTGAGGTAATTGTAATAATTGAAATTATACAGGGTAAACAAGTTACTTCCATCTGAAATTGAATCCGCTTAACAAAAAGAATATAAAAAATACCTTCAGTAGATGTTATACAGGGTGTCCCAGAAATAAGTGCAGATATTTTAACTGGTAGTATAGTTCAACCCCAGAAATACGCCTATGAGGTTTTTTTTGCGAAAAAAAAATGTTGAAAATTTAAAATTTTTCTTGACATTTTCCGGGAAATTTGAAAAAACTTTTTAGTGCCACTTGTTTATTCACCTGAGATTTCTCTACGGTGTATCTAAACCATGCAGTGTTGTAACCTCCTTTGTTATCCACATTCTACATAGTTCTACATTTATAAATTCATAGAAAAAATTCTACTCAAAAATTAAGAATGTTAAATTTTCATCAGTGCTCATTATTAATAATTATTATAGAAAAAAAACACATTAATTATTTTTAGTACTTACCCTTTCAATGAAAACTTAACAAAAACCACCGAAAATTAACTAAAACATTACGTTTATGACGTTTACGAAAATGATTCATCATATTATTCACAACCAGGTCACAAAAAAGAAATTCCTAAAATGTTTATCGTAATTTAGAATTCAATATTTGTTTTCTTTCATGTTTCTCTGTTTATTTGAACCACTGATTTACAAAACACCTTGAAAAGCGCACATTACTTTGAATACCGTCTCTTATCGCTACTTTACGAACTACTTTCAATTTAAGACATGTTTCACTCAACAATTTTAAATACGTATTTTGTTTTTCGCTATTTTTCGATGTATTTTGACAGCCCGACCGTCGCGCGTCGGCCAAGAGTGCCACGTGTGAACTGGTCCTTTGAGCCGCGCCGTCGTGGCAGGCTTGCGTCAGACGACGATGTTAAGCAACGTTGCCGTAGTTACAACAATTTCAAATTCAAGAGATTCGAAGCAATCAAATTTGTATTAAATTTTAAAAAATAAAACAGAGAAACATGAAAGGAAACAGACAAAACGAAAATGAATTGATTATTCGTCGGGCTGTTTTCGATATATTGAATTCTGAATTACGATAAACAATTTAGAAATTTCTCTTTTGTGACCTTATCAATTATCAATTCGTTTGTGTTTTGTTTGTTTCCCTTTCATGTTTTTTTCTGTTTTATTTTTTAAAATTTAATAAGAATTTGATTGCTTCGAGTGTCTTGAATTTGAAATTGTTGAAACTACGGCAACCTCGCATGACGCAAGCTCGACACGCCGGCGCGACAAAGAAGCAGTGAGCAGTTACCAACCAGTGATGCGTGGCTGTCTTGGCCGACGGATGGTTGGGCTGTTGACGGAATTGTCGAAATACAAAAAATAGCGAAAAAGCAAAATACGTATTTAAAATTGTTGAGTGAAACATGTATTTTCTTAGATTGAAAGTGGTTCGTAAAGTGGCGGTAAGAGACAATAATTCTCAACATTTATTCATTCAGAAAGATATTCAAAGTAATGTGTAATGTGTGCTTTTCAAGGTGTTTTGTAAATCAGTGGTTCAAATTGTGATGAAGCCTATACGAAAATAATGTGTTAAGTTAAAAATGGGGACTGTTATTTTAGCAGTTTTTATAATAGCACGTACAAGTAAAGCAGCACAATGAAGTGTATTTAGTTAAGTGTGTATCGAAAAGAGAACTGTCGCAGTTACATCGATCTGTCATAAGTATCTTTTTTTTTAATGTTGGGTAAGTTTTTTAATTTAACTTTTAAACATTTAACTTTTAATTTATTTTAAGTAATAATATCACAATCTTAAAAATGTAATGCATCTCTAAAAAACCTGTCCTAAAACTTAATAAAATATAAAAAAGTTTAAATACGATATATTTTTAATTTAATTATAGCTTCATTAAAATAAAAAAATTACCCGGCTATGATACGGAGAGTTCAGGTGTACTTGAGAAACGAAAGACAGTGTTGTGTTTCTCGGCAGAGTCGTCAGGGAACGACCGCTACGACAGAGACAACCTATCTATCGCTCGTGTCGCACTCGTTATAACCTAAAACAATAACACAACAATAACAAGACAGTGTCTGACCGCATGTTCCAGCTATTTATGAATGAGATGCTCAGTCTATATTTTATTTTAAGTCTATGATAATAACTGTTCTCTTGTAAATTTATTATACGGTAATGGCAAAACAATTTCCGATGCACGTCATCAACTTCGAGTGACAAGCGATGGCGACAGCGCTGCCAGATTGTGATGGATTTACGCGATGAATAAACAACACCACAAGTGGTAATAAAAAGTAAGAGGGTACCATTAATGCACAAACTAGTAAACATCTAGAATTTACTAAAAACTAACGTAGAAATAACTTCGAAAGTGATATAATGTGCTTATACCAATCAAACTTACTTCTCTGACCGCAGTTAAGGGTAATAAAGGACCTTTATTGTTACGTTCTCGTTCAAAATAGTTTATCAGGGAAGTTACAGGCTCTTTGCTTCGACTGTTTAAATTCTTCGACATATTTTCAACACACAATTTCCCGAAATGCAATAGAAAAACTCGAAAATTTAGTTCTTAAAAGAACTGTTTGTGCTTAAAAGTGACATTTTTAAAAAGGAATAAGGATGAAAATAGGCAAAAAAACGAGAATTACTCACAAAGATTCAACAACAACACGGTATTATACAAAATAATGACTGATATTATGATAATAAATTAAAATTATAATAATAAAAAAAATCGTCAAATAATAAACGGCCACATTGCTGAACATGGCGCAATGTGACCAACATAGCGATAATAAAATTCGGTTTAAACTGATTTTTGTAGCTTTAATCTAAAAAAATATCTGTTACAATCGTTTGCTCTATAAAGTAAAATGAAGAGCTGCTCAGTATCTTAAATTATACAACAAATTTAAACATGTTTGGCAAAATTTTATTTAGTTAGGTTTATAGGCTTTAGTATCAATTTCGATACGATTAATGACGTGCATTGGAAAATGTTTTGCGATTACCGTAGGTACAGGGTGATTCAAACTTCCCGCCCTTGGCTTATAACAGGAAAAGGAAAACTGCAAATACAAATTTCAAAGCCAGGATTTGAATGGCAGTGTCTAAGGTATATTTTTTCGTATTTAAACATTTTTCAACTTTTTTCATAATGGTGGAAATGACGTCAAAAAAATATTTTTTTCGCGGTCATTTTTTTTTCAAAAACTTTTTTAATGAAAGGTGTTAGGTTAGGTTAAAAATATGTTCTTTCAGAATATGAAAAAAAATTACCTATAACTTTGCGAGAAAAAACATTTTTGACGTCATTTCCATCATTTTGAAAAATGTTTAAATACTGTTATGTGTTATATATTTGTGGATAGAAAGTCACAATTTATTTAAACACAATTTATTTAACACTAATTAACAAAAACAATAACGATAAAACTATTTACAACTTATTTACAATTTATCTAACTATTTATCTAAAAGAAATTTATTTTGAATTCAGCGCGCGACAACTGTACACGTCGAACGTCTGTTTGTTTTTCTCTGTCCTCTTCAGGCTTCAAGCGCCGGCTTATATAGGAGAGAAACAGACAATCCAGATTTGTCTCGAGAATTTTTAGCCGCGTTCTTCGCAGAGTGGCCAGGCCTAAGGCCAAGTTAACACGGGTCCGCAACAATACGAAAATATATACCTTACACACTGCCATTCAAATCCTGTCTTCGAAATTTGTATTCGCAGTTTTTCTTTTCCTGTTATAAGTCAAGGGCGGGAAGTTTGAATCACCCCGTACATAATTTTTTTTAAATTAATTTAATATTGAATTTTTTAATATTTTTTTGTTCAGAATTCAGGCACAGGCAGACTGAAATTTAACGACTTCAAAGACCTGATGTGCAGCCTGAAATTTTGGCAGACGGCTTTCAAGAATCACACCAAAGAAAAAACGGGGATTCTGAAGGCAGAACGATTCAGAGACGCGTTGCTAGAAGTGGGATTTCAGCTCAGCAGTGACGTGCTAACAACACTAGTGCTGAGGTATATGAGAAAAGACGGCACCCTGCGATTTGGAGACTTCGTATCAGCTATTTTGCATCTGACAGTTGCATTTAGTAAGTTTTTTTGGAATTCAAGATAATTTTTAGTATTTTAAACACGTGGTACCTTAAAATTCTAAAATGATATAATGATATAATAATATTACAGTTGAGGCTTGAAACCTTTGGTGTTACACAGCAAAATAAAAACACTAAATCACCACAATACACCAAAACACTTTTACTTTTACACTGGACGCGCGATGTCAGCAGACATCAGCAGACGACATCAGCAGATGATTATAAACTATCGGTAGTTTATAATCATCTGCTGATGATGCTAACATGGTTAGCGAAACGCGCGTCCAGTGTAAAAGTAAAAGTGTTTTGGTGTATTGTGGTGATTTAGTGTTTTTATTTTGCGATATAATAATATCTAAATTAAAAATGAAAATTTCCATCTGTCAATTATACTAGGTAAAACAAAATGTTGATATTTTGGTAAAAGTTTGAAACACCCTGTGGAATATGTTAACAAAGCAAGGAAATTTTAAAATAATTTTATCATCTAGGTATGTCTTTTCTCGATAGTTTGTTTTTTGGTTCATCTCAATAGCTTTATTTTTATTTAAGATATTAACTTTTGAATAAGACAGTAACGATTTATAGTTAATTTTAGCATTGATTTTGGGTCTTCGTCAACACACTTATCAAGTAGTGTTTATTTTTTTCTAATGTCACTGTCTTTGAAAACGTTTATTCTAGTAGAGATGGTTTTAAGTTCTGAAGTATCGGCTATTGTTGCTTTAATTGATCATGGTAGAGATCAACTTTTGAACTTAAAACCTAGAGTAACTGCCCAACGGACAATAATAATATGATTTTTTAAAGACAGTGACATTACATATATCATAAACACTGTTTATAGGTCTGTTGACTAGGACCAAAAGCAAAGTCATATGGTTTTATTGTAAAAAATACGAAAAAATGTTAGTGTTTTCTTCAAAGCGAATATCTCAAACAAAAATGAAGCTATTAAGATGAATAAAAAAAACAAACTATCAAGAAAAAATAGAACTGGATGATAAAATGATTTTTAAATTCCTTGCTTTGCTAACGTACTCCACAGGGTGTTTCAAACTTTCACCAAAATGTCAACATTTTGTTTTACCTCGTATAATTGACAGATAGAAACTTTCATTTTTAATTTAGAAACAGACACTAGAAAGTCAAATAATTTAGCTACAAATTGCTTAAAAAATCATCAAAATCGGTCCACTAGAACACAATTTATAAATCTTTAAAATACCTGAAAAATTTCGATTTATTATTTCAATAATTTACAAACACTTTATTCTTTTTTACAGATATTTTTGAAGCAAAAGATCCATTACAAAATGGAAGTATTAAACTAAATTTATCGGAGGTAAGTTAAAAGAACCAGATTTTAATGTGACTTAAAAAATTATATACTTTTTCTTTTTTTCAGTGGCTGAAATCATCATTAAGTTGTTAGAGAAAAATGAAAAATCATCACACTCATACTGTACATATTTCCTTGTGAATACTGAATATATTTTTTTATTTTTATAAGATTTTTATAAGAATATTCTCTCATTCTGTATAAAATAAACGTTAATGTTTCATTACGACTGTGTTTTATTCATTCCAATTTACAGAAACAAAAGTTTAGATTGGGTCGAAATCGTTACAGGATACCTACATCGTATTTTTGTTATAACTTCTCATACTTTTTTATCGGGATTAGTAGTTTCCGGCACAGCAACATGGGTCTACTTTGGGTGCAGATTTATCAGTTAGAACTGCAGACTCGCAGGGAGGGCAATAAGAATTCTTCAAAAAGTTGACGTGACCCTACAAAGTTAAAGAAAAATATACCGGGTGTTGCATCGTCGAGCGGGACATAGGAAATCCCATGTAAATTTTAATGCGGTCAATTATTGGCTTCCCTAATTATTTTAGAGAATAATTCTATTCAGGTTTATTGAAGACCACTAAAACCCACATTCAAAAGAATAACTTTAGATATTTTTGATTAGCCCGTTTACGAGTTATCGCCGATTCCTTTTTAAATATTTCTCCTTTCTTATGGCCCTGTATTTACTTATGAGCACCAGTCAAGGTAAAAGATAACTGTCAAATGAAGTTGCCATTTCAGAAATTTATCTATTTAGTGCTTTATTATTATTATTAAAAACTCATACCCACATCGAAAATACTAGCCATGAATTACACTACCGAAGAAAAAGTATTGATGATTAAATGGTATTATCAAGGAAATAGTTATCAAAATGTGTCGGACATGTTTGCTGCTTTGTATCCGAATAGACCGATACCTGGAAAATCTACAATCGCAAGGAATATCCAGAGATTTGAGACCAAAGGTACCCTAATAAATAACTGCAGATGTGAGGCAAGGCAGGAACAAAGAGAAGATGCAAGAAATGATACCGACTTGGAAGTTTTATTGTGCGTGGAAGAGAATGATGAAAAGATCAGCACAAGGAAACTTGAGGATGAAATAGGAATAGATCACACTACAGCGTTTCGAATTTTGAAACGACATAAATACTATTCCTTCAAATATGAAAAGCACCAAGAGCTACGAGATGGGGACGAAATACGGCGGCCGGCGTTTTATTTTGATATGATGGAAAACGCAAACACGGATAGGGAATTTTTAAAAAACATATGTTTCACTGACGAATGCACGTTTACCTTAAATAATGAGCCCAATTTTCAATATTATTGATATTGGAACAAAGAAAACCAACACCGGTTTGTCGAAAGAAGGACGCAATATCCACAGAAAGTAAATGTTTGGGCAGGGATATTCGGACACAATATTATCGGGCCATTATTTCTTACGCGAAATTTAAATGCAGAATATTATTTGGAACTACTCGAAAATCATATTTTACCTGCTTTACATGATGCCACTAGGGAAAATCAGGAAGTTTGGTACCAAATGGATGGCTGCCCGGCACATAGTACCCTGGCTGTTCGGGAATATTTAGACAATAGTTTTAATAGAAACGGTATTGGCTTAAATCATACAGTAAATTGGCCAGCAAGGTCTCCTGATATTTCGCCAAATGATTTCTTTCTCTGGGGCCATTTAAAAAACAGGATATACAAGGATAAAAAATACCCAAATCTCCCCACGAGAGATGGCACATGTTTTTTGAAACACCCTGTATATCGTTCAACAAATAAAGATTATTATTTTTATGTTACTACTATTTAAAATAATAAAAAAACTCAAAATTTAAGTGAGGATACAGTCAATAATCACCAAACAGGCTAAGAAAACTACTTTTTCAAACTTGCCAACTTTTTTTTTGTCAAGGAAATTTTCTTGTATTCCAATGTCATATGATGCTAGTTTTAAGGCCTTTTTGTGCGGAGGATGTTGTTTTTGCTAATTGACTCTTCTGTTATACAATTTCAAAATGTTAATGTATTTTTTATTTATACATTTTAGAAACTGTCCTGATGATGGGAATACAATTCTCGAAAACTTGACACATTTGAAAAAGTAGTTTTATTAGCCTATGTGGTGATTATTGACTGCATCCTCACTTAAAATAATATACAAATAATATAGCCCACCTGCAGGTTCCTGATACGCATCTGCGCGTCCTCGAAGTTCTCGTTCAGGTTCCTGATCTGAGCCTGCATCTTCTGCCTCACATCGTCCCTATCCCTTTCCGCGGCCTTGGCCATGGCGGCCGCCCTGGCCAGCTGCCGCTCCATGTCGCTGATCTGGTTCTGCATCGACTTGCGCACGATCTCGCAGCGGTCCTTGATGCGCGCCACCTGCCGCGCAGACTCCTCGCGCACCGTCTCCAGCTGCGTCTCCAGCTGGACGATCTCGTGCTGGCGCGAACTGGCCAGGCGCTCGTTCTCGTCGGCCACTTCCTTTTGGCGATCTGGAGAGACGAAGGGGAAAAAGAGCTAGATTTTACTATAATAACTATCGTTTGATGATCCGTTTCATTTGGTTACAAGTACTCTATGTTTTTTCAAATGGAACACCCTGTATATTTATAAATCATATGATAAGCTTTGCTATGAGCTTCACAAAAATATATATATATATATATCACTCCGTATTTATTTTCACTATTTACTGCAATATTTAAAATATATCATTTTCCTATTTGTAGGCCGTGATAAATAACAAAATATCAAAATGGTATTTATACTATTTTTAATACCCATTTAGAATAACACCATCCTTATTTATTATTAATAAATCAGTTGAAACAAAAAATTACCAACAAAAATGAACGTCGATTATTAATAATTTGTTAGATGTCACGTTTTTGAAGTTACATTTCATGTTAATGTCATAACGCAAAATAAGATATAAAAATGCGATATTCTGATGAATCCAAAAAACTTATGCTTAATGTAGTAAACTATTTTCAAAACGATTTAGGATCTCGATTTAAGGCAATTCAAAAAGCATCCGAAGCACTAAAAGTCCCAGAATGCACATTATATAATCTAGAAAAACCAAACAGAGCTACAGATTTCGAATTTAGAAGAAATATGTCTGCAAGCGTTTCCCGGAGCAAAATCCGAATTACTAAGAATACCCTACATTGTTTGAGGGAAGTAATTTACAAAATGTATGCGCGAAAGGAAAATCACAGTAGAAACTATTTTCCTGCAATTTATCGAAGAGTCTCCAGAAACTAAGATTTCCAAAAGTTCGTTATATTTGGGAATTAAAAAAATGGGTTTTCATTTCAAAAAACCGGATGGAAGAAAACAGTTATTGGAAATGCCTGGAATCAGATAAAAAGAATATTATTTTTGAACAAATACCATGCTGTTAAAAGCGAAAAGCTCTTTAAAACCTGTTTTTCTGTAGAATTTGTACTTAAACGAGCCCTTAAATAAATATTATTACTGCTTGCTCGACTTCTTGTTATATTATTTATTATACTTTTAGTGCATCAGACGCTTTTGAATTGCCTTAAATCGAGATCCTAAATCGTTTTGAATATAGTTTACTACATTAATAAGTATAAGTTAAGATATTCTTTGGTATAAGCCTTAAATCGAGATCTTAAATAATATAGGTATTTTTTAAGAAAACTCGGTATCTAGTTAATAAAACAATATTTTTTAAAATTAGTGCGCTTCTTTTATATTTTTTTATTACGTCAACATCTTTAAATTTTATAAAATTAATTTTTATTATTATAAACCGCCACTGATAATATGAAATTTCAAGTCACTCCGCCAATGCAATAAAATATGTCAAGCATTTGACATGACAAAGGTCATAACCTAACTTTTTTTTTCATGCGGGTTTAGATGGTGCAAGAAGCCGCATACGTTAAGTTACTAAAACGACTGGTACCTCTAAATAGGTATTAAAAATACTATACTAAAATAGTCATACACATATTAAAATTTTATTTTAAATTTATACAGGGTGTCTCAGATTTAATCGGGAAAATTTAATAGACGATAGAACTTGCAAAAATAAAACAAAAAGTTTTAAAGCTTCCTTGTCGAGATACAGGGTGTTAAAGTTACTTAAAAAAGAAAAAAAAAATTAAGATATTTGAAAAACTATTTAATCGATTTTGATATAACTTGCCCCGTTTATAATACTTACTATGGGACTTAATTTGATGTAATTAGATTTAAGTTTAATGGCCAGGGGCGGCGGTGGGGCATCACTGTTAAATTATTTTAAAGGAAAAATAGGCACGCCACTGCTTTTTTAGAAGTTTAATATTATTTTTGGATTTAGTAATTAAAAATATAATTTTTTTGTCTCCTGACTTTTTTGTCTATCTTGCTTACTTCTTGCGAAAAAAATTAAATTCTAATTGGTAATTAATATTATAATTGGGATTCTAATGGTACCCTGTATCTCGAAAAGGAAGCTTTAAATCTTACAAGTTGATATGAACTTTTTGTTTTATTTTTACAAATTCTATCGTCTATTAAATTTTCCCGATTAAAATCTGAGACAAAATGAAAGAAGAGACAGATAGCAGTATACTTTTAATAATTCTTTAGTTTCTTTTATTATCAATCATGGCCTACAAATAAATATGATCTTTTAATATTTTTTTTTAAATATTGCAGTAAATAGTGAAAATAAAGGCTTATGGCAAGCCAGATCAAATAATTTATAGATATACAGGGTGTTCCATTTAAGAAAACATATCTTTAGTTCATATCTTAAAAGATATTATTTTCGTAGAATAACAGACTACGCCACTGTATTCTACGTAAAAAGTTCTACAATAAACAGTTTTCACCGTCTCGATACCTTTAACAATAACAGAGATACAAGGGGTGTCCCAAATTGCAAAATTTTTAAAAAGACCCTGTAGCTCAGAAACGAAGAGGGCTATGAAAATTTTGTTTCTTCTTTGACATTGTAAAAATTTATAAATGTTTATTTTAAACAATAAGACTGACAATGTTATTTGTATAATGTTTTGTAGTCTCTTTTGTTTGTTTGTTTGTTTACTTTGTTTGTTTACTTTGTTTACTTTACTTTTGTCTACAAATTGTAAATTTTTTTCACAATAAAGGCATTTATTTATTTATGTTTACGGAATCTGGCATCTTCCGTTTGACAAAAAAGTGGGACAGGTTTGTTCAAACCGCACCCTTCTATCTTCACGAATAACGGAGATACCGTATGATTTCAACTTAAATGGGACACCCTGTACTTCGGTAATAATAAAGTACTAACCTAAATCGATTTTAAGCTCGTCATTTTCGTCTTTGCTCTGTTGCAATTCTTCCTCCAGCCTCTTCACTTGAGCCATGAGCGACTCCTTTTCACCGGCACCATTTTGTTTATCGCTATTTGCCAGCGCCATATCGTCCATGATCGCTTGCAGTTTGTCCTTGTATGTCTGCAACTCCCTGGACTGAGCCTCATTGTTTCTTTCCGCCAACAGATGCATCTGCTGGGCCTCTTGCAACTGACAAAAAACATAAGAAATGTTTAACTGTATCCCTCATAATTTATCTTGACTTTTGACTTGTGTAGAGATTTAACATACTTATAATAGTTGGTAGGTTAATTTATCCACCCCTGTTCGTAGAATTCTGCATGTTGTCTTTAATAGTCTTTTAGGAGTATAACTTATATGAGTCTTAAAAACATTTTACCTTCAATTGTGTGGCTTTGAGAACGTCAGGCAACGGCGCCAGCTCCTGCAATTTTTCCTGGAACTGATTTTTGACTCGGATTATCTCCAGATTGACTTGCTCACTGACTCTGTTGCTCTCCAAGCGCATTATATCGATTTGACGGTTCTGCTCTTCGACGGTTTGGATGGCTTGCAAATACTTGTTCCTATAATCGCTCAGTTGTCCTTGAAGGTCTTCAACTAAAGCTCTCAGTTCTTCCAGCTCGTCTTGTGCTTGTCTGTACAGCTCTTTGTGAACTTTGATCTGTTGTTGGAGGTCTACCAGCTGTTCTTTGGAGCTGCCCTAAAGTTGAACAGAATTTTAACACAATACGAAGTATATGTTCGGTTAAGGTTAAGGGGAAAAAGGTTGCTTACTTTGTCTCCATCTCCTCTCAGTTCTTTCAGTCTTTTCTCCAGGTCTTTGACTTTTAGCTCCAATTTTGCTCGGGTTTCTTCAGCCTTCTCGGCCATTTCTTTTAATTTTTCGTTATCCGCTCTCAGACCAGCCACTTCGGTCAATTTGGCTTTGAAGTCTTCTTGCAATCGCTGGTATTTCTCCTTCATTTCCTTGTATTGCTGATCATCACCCTATCAAATCAATATAGTATAAGTATACCGGGTGCGTCTCAAAAGTGGCTCACCCGAGATTTAAGTATGTTATATATATAATTTTAAGTATGTTAGTGTATCACATAAATTAAGATTGATTGACGTATTCAATTATTTTTGGTCACTTCCTGTTTTACCGGAAATGACTACAACTTTTGATTTTTCATCGCCATCGCTATTTTTTTTACTTTATTCGATAGAATATGAAATTCTGAATAGAATGACATATCATATGTCAATTTTTGACATTCTCTCTTAATAAAAAATCGTATTTTAAATTTCAATCTAGAGTGCCATGGCTATGTTAAAAACACTAATTCTTAATCAAGGAGCGTTGGAAAAATAGATTTGTAGACAAATCGTATTTTTAATCCTGTCCAGCATAATCACGTGACTAGAAGTTTATTTGGTATATGAACTGTAGGATAAAAGGGATCCAAATGATTTTTTAAATGGACCTAAGCGCAAATTTACACACTTTAAGTGCCAATTTATTTGGCATAAAATGGAATTAAAAAAATTCTACAGTGGCTCTAAATTAGAACTTAGAAATAATTTACCCCAATTATAATAGTTTAACTTACAGCTCCGTCTGCAGGAAAACATGGCGGTGGAGGCCGGGGACAGGGGGGATAGCCACAAGGAGGCGGCGGTCCACATGGCGGCGGATTACAGGGGTAAGGTGGACAGGGAGGTGGACAAACGGCAAGCATTCTTCTGTGGTGCTCCAGGTGTTCTCGTTCTTTTTGCACTTCTATCAATTCTTGCTGGATTGCCCTCACCTCTTCTTCGACATCGATTAATTGCTTTTCCTGAAATCAGTTTAATATAACATTCAAACAAGCCCTACAACATTTTAATGAACAGTGCTTTGCATAAAATCAATAAAATGAAAAATATACGAAATAATATAAATGTACTGATTTCTTTCGAAAATTGACAACTATGAAACTATGATCCCTTCCCCGACACAAACGGTACATTGTGAGACAGGACATTTTAAGAGAAACAAGCCCTATAACATAGGATACAACATTTTAATGAACAGTGCTTTCAAAATAAGTTTATTGTAATTATAAGGTAAGCTGAAATATAATACCACTCACCAGCTGACTGGTAGTTTGGGAATACTCCTGCAATCTAGATTCAACCGCGCCAGGACATGGACCTTTTCCCGGTCCACAAGGCCCCCCGGATCTGGTAGGAGAATTGGACCTGGACCTGTTTTTGGGACAACCCGGGATAGGACAAGCCATCCCTTGTTGTTGTGGATCGTTTACGGGACCGTGTTCTTGATAGGCCATGCGCAGCTCATTCTGTAAACTGCACAGTTGCTTCTGCAGACATTCGACCGTTCTGTCTTTGTCGATGAGGTCTGTTTGGAGCTTGTACCTGAGAAGAAATGAAAAAAATTGGAAAAATACTGTGAATTTTGATTTTTGTGCGATGTGAGTTTGACGGAAATGATGTGTGTGTCAAATACCTGAAATTTTGAGTAGTTTTTGGTTAATTTTGTCGTAAACCTAAATACCTAGCTGTAAGTTTATACCTTGTGCCTTCTAGATCGACATTGTCAGCAACGAGCTTCTCCTGCATATTGTAGCTCTCCCTCAGCTTACACGTCGTGGGACTGGGCGTTCTTTGTTGAGACGAACTCCTTGATCGACAATGCCTGTCTTTACGCTCGTGACAGAGTACGATTTTCGGTATAAAATCGTCCCTACCACAAACCAGCATCTTGGGCAGAATATCCTCGGCGTGTTTAGTTTGCAAAGGAGGCTGTATAGCTTGCATCTTTTCAAATAAGTTAGCTTGTCCTATAAAAAAGAAATTATTTAGAAGTCGCCCTTGTTTCTTAGCTTTAATCTACTGAGGTGTTTTTTTCATATAAAATTCTGCTTTAATTATAGCATTACTTACCCAACAAAGCCTGAATTCTCTTGGTCTTCTCCTCAAACAAGATCATCTGCTTCCTGAGCTCCATATTCTTCTGTTCCAGTTCCTTTCCCTCGGCTTCGGACATTTTCTCCTTCTTCAACAGCTCAGCAACGCGGTCCTTCAAGTCAGCAATAACGTTGGCGGTGGCTTTGGCTTGTTTCTCGGCTTCCTCGAGTTCTTTTAGAACTGCAGCGTCTATGGCTGGATCGAACTTAAAATAGGAACCGTCACCGCCAGGATCCTTTCCTTGCTCCTTTTTCTGTTGGTCTTCGTCCTTTTTATCGTCGGGTTTCGCGGTGGGATCTGTAACGCCAAGTTCCTCTTCATCGTTTTCCTGAAATACATTTATTTTTGGAATGAATAGTATCGATTTATATCAAACCATGCTGGGTACTAACAAAAGTATTGTTTACGACAGAAAATTGCTTTTAAAAAATGTCCGTAGATCAATCATTTTTCCAATCAGCTCAATATAGTGTTCAAGCAATAATACTACAGTTATACATATTAATCAATTAAGATCGTAAACAATCATAACATATTTCATACACTAATTCATAATAATAAAATTAAATAATAAGAATATTTTAGTTATATTCCTGCAGATAAAGTGAAAAGTCGACCAAGACTACTTATTAAATGCAAAAGCAACACTAACGGGGTCTTGGTCTTGATTTTGCATTTGCTAATCATAAAAGATTGCTAAAAATTACTTCTAATGTGTCCATCATCTGCTTATTTTCTTCTGCAACGCTCTGTAGTTCGTCGGACGCTTGCTGTATCATCTGCTCTATGTCTTTCAACGTTGCATCATCAACCTAGAGCAACAAAAACACCTTTAGAACAAAATGTTTTGCATCTGTGTGTGTAAAAAATTACATTTTAAATGACTTAATATGTTTTTAGAAAAATCGAGGTAGTGTCTCAACTCGTTGATCTACAGGCAACGAGCTATTCATTGCTAGTAAGTGAGATGCCAAATTGACATTTTTTTGTTCTTAAATTTGTGTAAAAATATACTAAAACATAAAAACTACCTCTTCCTCATCTTCAGTTTCATTGATATCCTCATTGAGGTCCTCTCCATCCATATCTTCCGCCATCTTGATATCCTCAACGCCCACCGGATCCTCAAACTTTTGCTCTTTTAAATCAAACCCAGATTTGTCTGTTAGACTGATCTGAGTATTTGTCGCTCCTAACGGAGAGAAGAAATCGCGATCCTCGTCTTCTGAAGCACTCTGAAACTGCTCTTCTGCCGGAGACTTACTGAACAGTTCTTGTACAGACCCTTCACAAGGTTCTATAGACCTGAAACCAGCCTCAAAGGATTCCTGAGCAGTAAGCTGCTTCGAAGCGGGATATAATTTTGAATGATCGCCGCAAGGGTGGTGGTGTTTTGTATAGATAGACCTCTGCTTTGCCGAGGAGCTACTGTTCTTTTTATGATTTGATATTTTCTTTTCTAGTCTCAGTTCCCTGATAATATCCAAAGAATCTGAATAGTTCCTCAAAGATTTCCTGAAGAAACTGTCAGCGTCACCAAGCAAATTCACCGGTTTCTTGAAAAGATTATTGTAGGTCTGGAGAAAGCCTATATTTTTCTGGATCAAAGGATTACTGGAAACTCTGTTTCGAGCTCTGAGCTCCAGAGAGCGCCTGTCCGGGTCCTTGCCCGCTTCCTGGATGTTTCTGTTCGATACTGTGAATTTTTGTCGGCTCTAAAAAAACGATGAAACGGTCAAATACAATGACGGATAGTTCGTATGTCAAAACGGAGTTTTACCTTCATTAGATTTAATCACCTTAAGGGATATCTACTGGAACAATGAGTTTTTTGGTTGAAAAAATTATTCTTTTTTGGACAAATAAGCACGGATTGACTGCAGGCACTGAGGAAATGGATGTGAAAAATAGTGAAATGTCAATGTTGAACAATCGAGTTTTGTTCTGTGATTATGGTGGTTAATTCATAATGTCAAAGGTAACAAAACATTGTATTTTTTTTGGAAAAAAATCATATTAAATCCGATTGCAAATAATACCGATTAAAAACACACCACATTTTATAGGGAATATTTCAATAACTTCGCTAGGGCCTCAAAAATTAGCGAGGTTATTGAAATATTCTCTATAAAATGTGGTGTTTTTAATTGGTAGATTATGGTAATCGCCCTAGCGAAACAATGCACGTGTCCGACTCGCACTTGACCATTTTTTTATATTATTTTGGAGAAAATAAATAAAACTGCAACAATTTTGATTCAACTTATTCTATTTCATCCATACAAATAACTTCTGGTGCCAATAAATGTTCCCAAAATACGAAATTTGACATTGGAGTTGATTGGTGGTGTGCTTCTAGGATCAATGTATCGAAATACTTGATTGCTGATCACGTACAGAACTCCCTCCTGGTCGAAAGCAAATCCATCAGGCCAAATGGTGGTTCTTGGATCTTGGTGGATCATCTGGGTCGATTCTAACGGATCGTTAAGGTTCCATCGACCTACTCCATACAGAGGCAATAAGGTAAAGTACATGTTTGCTTGGCTATCGATGGCGATACCTGAAGATAAGTACAATATTAGCATGCTGTAGATTTTTTTTACATGCAGGCCTCAACAGGTTTTGAATTTGAAAAAAACATATAAGGTTTTTACTTTGGAAAAAAAATTAAGGAAGGAGCATATCAACGGACTTACGTGGAATGCGATGGGGAAGAATTATGGATGTCTTAAATTCCAGTTCATCAGTACCGTTCTAATTTTATTTAAAACATGTAAAATATAATTTAGGATTGACTCAATTATTTGTTGGTTTTGTTTTAAGTTGTCTATAATTGGTATTGGCTATTTAAAAATATATTTCTAATAAAAATAGATAAGTTATAATAATCATTTATGTCCAGTAATATACCTTCCATTCAAACTTGAAATTAAAAATCAATCTAAAGTTTAAACTTTACTAGATGCTGTTTGGTTTAATTCAAATTATAAATGTCAGTTAAATAATGGTAGCTAACAGGCTTATATATCAATATTTTCTTGTGATGTTCCTTTTTTCTTATTTAGCAACATTATTATTTGCGCAGAAATAATTCGTGACGGTGTTGTTTTTATGTTTCTTCTATATGAAATGTGTGAAAAGCTAAAATAATTCAAATACTTCCCTCCATGTCAATAAGTCAGAATTAAATAAATGAGATCAACAAACCAATAAATCAATCGATATAAAGGTACATGAAAATCGAAAAAGACTCCAAAAATGACCATTTCAGAATAAACAAATATTTCTGCACATGCTCGAATTTTCAGATTGTGGTTTAACCTGATCCTATCCACCAATTGGAGTTTATAGTGTTTATACTTTAGATTGCAGTTTATAGCAACCCATAAAACTTACTTCGATAGAAAATCTCAAGATTAACTACTATCTGAAGATTAACCCGAATCTACAAAAGTGGCTCTTAATAACATAAATTATTTTAATTTCATAAATCGAAAAGAAAAACTAAAAAGTAATTTTCTTACCGTCCACTTGAGATGTAAGTGTTCCAACTGGCGTTACAAAGTTTCTCCAGCTTCCACTATTCAAGTTATCTTCATCTCGAATTACATTTGTCAGAATAGAGTATAGAGTAAAGGAAGTCAAAGCACAGTAATATAATATTCTTTCTCCGTTTATGGTTTTCGGTGATAATGCAATTCCATCTGAAAAAGTATAATATACAGTGTGTTGCATTGCCAACAGACAAAAACTCCTAATTAAAAATGTATTTCTAAATTAAATAATCGTTTTTCTTCCATTAAATTTGCCTATGAAGAACCCTAAAGAGAACAATAATAGATTTCTAGATGTATTAGTTATTAGAAATACTAATAATTGCTTGGAATTTGATATCTATAGAAAAAATACCACTACATGCAGATATATTCCGAATAAGACATATCATAGTATTGAATATAAGATGGCTAGTTTAAATTTCTTAGTTCATAGATTACTTAGTTTTCTACTTATCAACGAAAGATAAATAAAAAGAAATTACATTAGGAATGTAGCTGAGTGTAATGGATTTTCTCCTTCATTAGTTGATAAAATAATTAGAAAACGCAGATATAAGTTTGCGATTTTTGAAAATTCGACTTTTCAAGTTGAGAAAGGAACGTCAAAATATTTTTCAATACCGTTTGATAGAAAATTATCCCGCGGTTTAAAAAAATTAAGAATGTCATTTATAAACTTGTGTATAGTGCTAATAATAAATTACAATAACAATTATTAAATAATCCCTCAAGATAAAACATCTCCATTGGAAATTTCGGGTATTTATGAAATTTCATGTAAAGATTGTAATCAGAAATATGTTGGGCAAACTAAGAAGATCAATATTAACTAGATATAAAGATTATACAGCTCAGATAAGATTTGGTATACCGGATATATCTTGAATTGCTCAACATATTGTTGATAAAGAACATTGTATAGATATTAATAATTTAAAATTAATTAAACAAGTCTCAAATTACAGGCAATTAGATGCATATGAGAGAGTCAAAATTAATAAATGTAAAGATAGTATGAACAGAGATTTGTAGGTATTAGTTTAGTTTGAATTATCTGCTGATGATGCTAATAGTGTTAGCAAAACGCGCGTCCAGTGCAAAAGTAAATAGTTTTTGGTGCATTGTGGTGAATTAGTGTTATATTTTGCAAATCACATAATAAAATTACGAATATTTGTAGTTAAAAATATGACTTTTCAATTATTATTAATTCAATTACAAATCTGTTTATATTACTAGTATACTTACCAACAGGAACTGAATTATTAAAAGCTACATCAGCTACAGCAAAGTTACTTGCCCTTCTTTCAGCAAACATAGAACCATCCCTTAATTTCCAAGCCCTATTCTTTCTTCTACTATACACAATTATTCCTGGATCTATGCCAGAATTATCCGTGATATAAGCATAACCCCCATCCACATCTTCCACAACCAAATCATTTAGAAATCCTCCTTGACCTAAACTAATTTCCGGTTTAAAAACATAACTATGAACCAATCTACCATCATTATTCAGGTCCAAAAGCACTAATTTTGGAGGACAAGTGGTTAAATTGTTGATACGGACACCATCGATAATCCACATGATACCACGGGTATCCACCTCCATGCTTTGGATACTTTGAAGACCGTGACAGTTAGAAATGCCGTTTGCTGACCAGCTGGGGTATGGTGTTAGTAAAGGATTGGTTCTGGATGCAGTAAGTCTGTCCAGGACTGTGAGTGTTGCTGGTATGCCCTCTCTGAATCTTGGGATTGAAACAAAAAGAAGGTTTCTGTAAATTTTGATTCCCACTGGAGCGTTGTTTTGCGGTATGTAGGTTTTTGTGGAGATTGCCCATTGGTAGTGTGCTGGTGAAGGCCAGGTGTAGTTTAAATAGACCCATTGGTATTCTATCCCGAATCTATAAAAAAGAAGAAAATGTCTATAGTAATGTACAGGATGTCGCATTTTCGTGTGTTTTACATGAGTAGAGATACAAAGATGCGGTTTTCACATTACTAAGCTACTTTTTTATGAAACTAAAGATGCGATACACAGATTTGTTCTAGTTACTTCTTAGTTCTTGAAATACAGGGTGAATTTTAAAGTGTTGTATTTTTCGACCCCCTTTGTATAATATATTGTATCTTGTTGGTCTTATAAATTGTGGAAAAGGCAAAAACTGTGTCCCGTAGAGTTTTTCACGTATAATTCAGTGGCGTACCTAGATTTTTTTCTAGTAGTTGTCATTTTTGAAATATGACTCAAACTTATAAAGTATACTTATTAAGTTTTTTTTTAATTGGACACCCAGTATATTATATTTTTATTTTATTGGGCTTGTTGGCAGCTGAGAGGTGAAACATCGGTTTCAAAATCTGATAACAACATCTTGTAGAACAAAAAATGTTAATACCGTATGATCGAGAAAAAACGGCGTCAGCGATGGCTATGAAATGAAGATCGCTGTCATTTTATATGTAAATTTATATGGGAAATGTCTTCGATCGTCATTTCCCAGCCAACTGGACGCCGTTTTTTTTCGATCATACCCCATACAGCACATCAAATCACATTTACGATGTGTTTACATTATTAGATGTAGACACAGGGTGACACAATTCCCCCGATGTAAATCTGCTACGTTTAAACATTGTAGTTCAACACGTATGTACAAAGGTTAAACGTCCGCCTCACAATGTAGCCACGGTATAGCATTTGCATGCCACACACAGTAAAAGGGAAACACAGTGTGCCGTAGGATACACAGTGCTGTGTATTACGTTTAAACTCTGTTACACATTGCAGTTGTGACTACCGCGTGTATACGTATGTATTTTGCTTCGTATATACATCTTGTGCTAGATAAAACTACTTCTTATGAACGAATTTAGGAAATAATACAAGCAAGTTTAGACGCCCTAACTTTTCGTTTTTTAAGAAATATTTGATATTGATACAATTATATCTTTTTAGAACGAAAGGAAGGCAAAACTGTATATTCAAAAGTATCTCGATCGTAAGTTCAAGAGAGAAGTAGCCTTAAAATTGTTCCATTTTTGTTTTTGTATTAAATGTACCATTTTCTTCCGCCAGAGTAAGTGGTTAAAATAAAATTCTTATATTTCTTTATATCATGGAACACCAATAGCGCAAATAACACAATAATAATAATTATATTTACACTGCAGAAACCAGAAGTAAAAAGAAAACACTGTAGGCAAATTTGTATCAAAAATGTATTAAAAATATAAGTACCTAGTATAACAACATACTAAAATGGTAAACACCGGTATATCGCCACGATTTGGTGGACCTTGTTTCCCTCCAAGCAGTTGGTTTGTTAGCATACTCATTCATCGAGCACTCTGTTGGACTTTGTTGTATTTTATTTCCAGATTAACAATCTCACTATAGATACTATATGAAACTGATTATTGAATATTAAACATATCTGTGTATATTGATCCCTCAATAACTTACCGAATATCAGTGTAAGAAGTTCTTTGAAGTGTTTAAATTTTTCTTTCTCTGGTCCATTTAGATTTTTATTATTTCCAAATTAAAAATTATATTGCAGAGCTAACCTCTTTATCATTATACGAGAATATTTGGAGTTTTCATTCATTGAGTCAAAATTTGGTAAATTGGGTATCAGCGAGAGTAAGTGAAAGAGTCACGCTGCTATAATTAATAATACTCTTAGGAAGGTGTAACAAGGTAATTAAAAACTTGTGCTTACCTTAAAATCTCTTTTAAACTACACACGAACAGAACATTTATATAGAGCTTCCGAATGATAAAACAATAATGGCCGCTAACACATACCACTCCTAGAAAGGAGAAAGGAGAGAGGACACATAAGATACACTTGGTCAGTGTGTCTACGCTGAGGCTATCCGCGCGTGCGCACACCTTCATTTCATGCTAGAATGTAGACACAACAGTACACTATTACAAAGTGTCTATACCTATAGATATTTATACTATGTGTATATGTCACATATTTACAAGGTGCGTACTATAGGCACAACTATGATACGAAGTATCACACATACATATGACTTTTACATTGTATGTCTCATATACCGACGTCAGATTTCATCATTTTAATAATTATTTGTTACGTTACAAAAAACTCTTTAGAATCTTGAGTGCATACGGTATACAACTAGTAAACACTGTATCACATAATTCTATCAATATAAACCTGCGTGTATCTCATATGTATATGTTAGAACTAGATGAACACTTAGGTTCACTTTAACATATTTTGTTTCTCATGTGTCTCCCTTGTAGAAACGTAATTTCATTTGGACGTGCTGTATGGGACGGTACTTTTAATGTGAAAATATTCGTTTTTTTTTTCAAAAAGTTTTCCTAGTTTCCCAGATACCACTGATGAGACTCGTATTTGGGACACCCTGTATATATTTTGTCAATGAAATACTTATAGCTTTTAGATTTAAAGGTCACAATACAAGTTTAGTATACCATTAGGTACATATAAAAAGTAGTTTTTTCGGTAGAAAAATAGCTAATATTTGATATATCAATTTATGCCAGACTTGTTATAAGAAGGTTATTTAAAACAAAGATATAGATACTATATCTATTCACATTATGTAATTTCAGACTATAGCTGGCCATTGATATTGTTAAATTTAGTGCAAGTTACTTAAATATCAGTTAAAATACAAATTGAGAACTTATATTAGCCTTTTAAAAATATAAATTATCTGATATTGAATATTTTTGAAGAAGGAAAATTTTGTGGTACATTTTCTTCAGGACTGTTTCAAGTATTTGGGAGAATGGAACATTAAAATGTGCAAAATATGTAATTAAGGTCATTTCAAGGCAAAGCAAATAGTTTCATTGGTCAATATTTTGCATTTCTGTACAATTCGAAACAAAAACACTAGGTTTGTATTTACAAAACGTTTGATTTAAAATAGAGAGTGTAATAAATACGGATGCATAACTGTACAAAAATTTTAGAAATTAAATACAATGATATCAAAAAATGTAATTTTTGAACCAGTGATGTAGCGCACTGATTTGAAAAATTCAAATTATTGATTTTCTGCTAAGATTTTACCAAAAATACATATATATTCTCTGTCTCTATGTAACAAATTAATACTCACGGAAAATGCAGTTAATATGAATATTTGGAATAAGTACGGTATACATCATTAGATTTGGAATTTCTGAAGTTTTTAAAATACGCAAAAAATACAGAACCGTATTTAAAAAGAAGTTAATTTTGTTATATCTACTGGAATAGAGACACAAAACAATAAAAATAAAATATCAATAATTATACATTTTTTTCTAAAGAAAACAATAATTTTTATTAAACAATTTTTTTAAAGTATCATCAGGAATTTGGACTGAAAAATTTACACCCTGTACTCATTAGGAGTCATAACTAATTGCACATATTTTTAAGGGTAGTATATTTCGACTTCAGAATAGTAGTGGGAACTATCGAATGAATACTATCAGAGGCTTGTTCGATAGTTGCAATTCATTCGAATAATTCGATAACTAGTAAAACATTCGTTGAAAACTATTCGAATAAAATTATCGAATAGATGCGTCATCTTTCTTACTAGAAATATTTTATTCTGTAGTAATTCGGCAGCAAAACCATTCATTTATAAGTACATTCATTTATAAAATCCATTCATTTATAAAATTCATTCATTTATAAAATTCATTCATTTTATAAAATTCATTCATTTATAAAATTCATTCATTTATGAAATTCATTTATTGGTCAGGATCGATTATAATAAATATTAACTGGATTTTAGTTGTCGCCTTACAGCGACGTAGGTTTCTTTCCGAGAAACCCGACAGCAGTCAGTGGCAATGCTATGAAAGAAGGCGGCATCTTTGATTTTTTGTAGGTCAGATAAAGAATAAAGGACACATTATTTTTTTATTGAGGTGCTAGTATTTACACAGAAAATATATTATGAAGGGCACTGTTGCCATATATTGGTATTAGTTGATGTCAGCAAAGAATATTATTGTTTGGCTTTAGTTAGTTAGGGATAGTATGTGTCTATATATTTTTGCATTCTTTTTTATTAATATTCTGTTGTTACACTGCAATAATACTTGTTATTTTGGATGTAGGAAAATGATTTTTAATGTTTTTTAAGCAAAGACTGGTTTAATCAATAATAATAACAGTAATAATTTGTGTTATACCTATTAACAATAATTAAAATCATTTAATATAAACATTTTTTAAGTATTAGCAAAATATAAACAACAAATTAGATGTCAAAATTATTTATATTAGATCCTATTTAAAAAATAATATAATCTCTAAATTTTTTGTGTGTAACGTTGGTTTATAAATAATAATAATTACAGAACTAATTTGTTATATTAACAACAAATTTTAAAATCATGAAATATCAACATTTAGTAATTTTTCTAAGCATGCAGTGTAATGGAAGGAAAATATAAATAAAAAATTAGAAAATCAAAATTATTTATATTAGGTGCTTTATATTGCTGTTTAAAAATAATATATTTACTTTTACTGGCATTTACTTTAAAAAATAAATGAAATATTTCTTCATAAAAAACTACATGTAAAATTAGCATAAAACAAAATACAAACATCGTTAACTTTTTAATTGGCACGTGTAAAACTTTCAATTTAATTTTCTCACCCCATAGTTTGAGTTCGATAATCATTTACTTAACCACATTATAAATATGATTATTAAGTTTAACTAATTCATATTATTAAATTTAACATCTAAAATACAAATATATATTTTTAAAATTAATTAATAAGTTTATCTCATCTCTCTTTAAAATTGCTACTTCTCCAAAATTACCCAATAAAAAATAGACCATATACCATATAAATTAATAATTGAAAGATCGGGCTACAGAAAATCACACAAATTTTCGGAAAGAAATTTTGACCACCTCCACACACACACAATCGTCAATTAAAAAAAACTATTTAGTATTTTAAATATTTTAATAAACGCAAAATAGCACACTATTTATACGTCGTAGTTATAAAAATTGGGAAGAACTAATAATGCACTGACGCACACAAAAAATCAAACGAATAAATTTCATTTAATAAAAGCATTCTGAAGTCATTGGCTTAACGATAACCATTTAGTCGCACGGCGAGGTTGTCACATATGCTTTAGTATACAAATGAATGAATGATTTTATTCGAATAAAACCATTCGATAGTTGAAATCATTCATTCATAAAATATCAATAATTATACATTTTTCTAAAGAAAACAATAATTTTATTAAACAATTTTTTCAGAAATATGTCGATTTTTTTTTACTCACAAAAACAAATCTTGAAAACATGTTTTTTTTTTAACTTTTTGGAATTTTTTAAAATTTTCATTTAAAAAGCATAATATCTTGATAATATGGCAATATAGGTAGTATATAACTTAGGGGAACGAAAATAAATGTATAATAAAAATGTTCCTTTTATCCATATCTATCAGCCCGGAAAATATGTGCAATTATTTAAGACCCACCCTGTAGATAATTGAGATAATCCTTACCCGTAGTTTTCGTTAAAATATCCATGACAACAATAACAAAACAGCACATTAAAATAAAACACAACGCGCAGCACACACAGCATCTTCTTACAAACAGCTAAAGGAAAATGAAAGTGTGTAGTTCTTTTTTCTCTTAACCAGAGCTACATAAAGTAACTTTACAGCCTCTACTGGCTCTCAAACCTTAATTTAATTTAGACTAGATCAAAACCACCATTCACAAAAGGCAAACACATTTATTTTTCTTAAGATATATAAAACTACTAGTAGTACATACATATACTTTAGTAAATATGGTACACAGTAAAATATAGAATATCTATTTGCTACTACTGATAACCAATTTAAGTTCATATTTGACTTTTCGCAAACAATAATTAGAATTTAATTAATTATTTTAAAGGTGTTTCTAAAATATATACATAATCATTGCCAAGCCTTTAAATTGTTAATATATTCATATATTATGTGTATATGAGTATACAGGGTGTTCCTTAATGATATGCTAATATTTAAGGAGGCGATTCCCCTTGAGCCCATTCTAAGAATAAACTTCATGTGAATGTATGTCAACATCTTAACACCTTTTTTTTCCTTTTGATTTTTAAATGGCACCCTCGGTATATTTCTACTTTATTCGATAGAAAAGGACACTCTGAATAGAATTACATAGCATATGTCAACTTTTGACATTTTTGCTTAAAAACAAATCGTAGCAATTTCAATCTAGTGTGGAATAAGAAATGGCTGATTATGAACCGCATGTTACAATTTCAAATAAACCATAATATGCGAAATGTCAAAAGTTGACATATGATATGTCATTCTATTCAGTGTGTTATTTTTTATCGAATAAAGTAAAAAAATACCGAGGGTGCCATTTAAAAATCAAAAGTTGTAGTCATTTCCGGTAAACAGGAAGTGACCAAAAACAATTTAGTATGTCAATCAATCCTAATTTATGTCATATATTAACATACCAAATCTCGTTTTTTTATCTGAAAAAATTAGAAAGTTATAGGGGTGAACCATTTTTGAGACGCACCCAGTAAAATGAGAGTAATAGTTATGGAAAAAAACTGAACAAGTTATTAGTACTTAATAAAATATATCTTAATAATTTTGATAATTATGTGATGAATATCGTTTATCAACGGAACGTCAAAGTTTTATAATAGACGTATATCTGCTAAAAAATAAAGTGTTCTTGAATAGCTGAATTTAAAAATTTTAAATATGTAGTTTTTTCTTTTCTATTTTTGTGATTTTTGCGTCTCACAACGGGAGGAAATTAACTTTTTATTTTGTACATTGCTCTTATGACATATTCCATATTTTAAAAGCAATAAGTACCTAAGATACTCATTTGTAGTGATGTTAATATTTCAGAAATTTTTGATTGTTGCAGGAAATTTTCGAAACTTTCAGAAACTTTCGGAAATTTATGAAATTTTAGGTAATTTTACAATTTTATATATTTTTTGTTGATACAATAAACATAATATTAGTTGTTATATTTTTAATAAACAATACATAACTCATAAAATTCATAAACAAAACACATAACAAAAATCATTTGGTAACATTTGTCCTTTGTACATAAACCATGAACTATGACTATGAACTTAAAAAAAAAGACAAAAAAGCACGAAATATAAATTTAAAAAACGTAAAATACAAATAACTGAATTATTCTATTCCAGAATACTTTCCAGGCCTATCTTCATATCCAGGCTCAGTCCCCATCTTCATGAGGGTATTATAGTAGTAGTAGTACTGTCTTCGTCAGTTTCTATTTCCAAATCAGATATATTTGATGTATCATCTGGTTCTGATTCTGAAGGATGGACCTCTACCTCTACGGGTTCTAGTGGTTCTGGAGGAGTTTCATGTTGTTGAATATCATGCTCCATATCCACTTTTTGTTTTTGTAGTAATAATTTATTGTTATGGGCTACGAACATTATTTTGCCGGCTCTTTGTGATGTTAAGCGATTCCTTTTTTTAGTATGGATAAAACTGTAAGTACTGAAACTTCTCTCAGTGGCTGCAGATGACGTTGGTAAAGACAGCAGAGCAATAGCTAAATATGTATTTCAACTGAGTATTTTTACACATGCTTGTCACCAACTTAGACAGTCTACATTTTTAACTGACATCCAAACGTAGTCGAGAGCCTATAAACCCGATTTGGCGCAATAATTTGTTACATCTGTAAAAATGGCTTCTTTATTATTGACAAACTGAGGATGTTTGTTGTTGATATTCTTGATAGATTCCATAGTGGCTATGCGTTCTTCATTGTTAAGGTACTCTCCCAGGAAACAGAGGGGTCCAAGAGATTCGCGGCAACATGCATTGGTTGAAGAGCCATACGTTTTCTATTTTGTAAGGCGGAGAAGCATTCTTTTTCTTCTGATTTAAGAATAGACATACTTTCGTTAAATTTTTGCTCAATGTCTTGAATTTTGAAAATAAATTTCTTGCAAAATTCGGATTTTTGCGAATATTCGCGATTTTGGGACCGAATATTTCGGAAATTTCTGAAACTTCCTGCAAAATTTGAATGGAAATATTCGCTACCAACATCACTACTCATTTGTAAGTAAAAAGGTTCAATGGAATAGATTCGACACAGTGAAAGTAACTGATATCTTAGAAAACATAAAATAAAATGAATGTGATCTGTTATTTTTGAAGTCAATGGCATGTAGGTACCTATAAGGAAACTACCTATATTATTGCTGTCAATAAACTAAAAATGAGATTAAAGTGAAAGTCCCACCGGAAAGATGTTTATTCCAGCACTATTTATCTTTTAAATTCACATATACAGGGTGTTTCTGGCTTCTGGTTGAACTTGCAAAAGAGGTTATGTTATTATTATTATTAAAATACACAAACCAGAAAAATCTAGGGATATCATTTTATTAAAGTTAAAAATAAATGTTTTGAATAAACAACCCCATATTTGTAGGCCGATTCTTTCTACTTCGATTGAAACGAAGTAGTCGCACTAGTTATTTCCAAATTTGGGATATTTGCAGAAGTGTTTGGTGCATTTTTTGTCAAATGTATAAAAGCACCTACCATCAACTGTTCGAATTTAACCTGTACTGGCTATGTTTTTATGATAACTGGCCAGAATTCATTCAAATAACTCTGTTTAGTATTAAACGACATTATGGAGCGTAGACATCTTAACAGAGACGAAATGCTAAGGGCCATGGGTATGCTTGAAGCTGGAATGCGCCAAATCGACGTAGCTAAAGCATTAAATACAACGCAAAGTGTTATATCGCGATTAAGTGCACGCTACCGTGAAAGTGGCGATGTTGCTTAAAGGCACACAAAGCGACATCGCATTACTACCCCTCAGCAAGATCATTTTTACAATTAAATGCTCGACGCCGACCGACTCTTACAGCACCAGAATCTTAGTTTAATTTTCCAGGAAACACATAATGTAACCGTTAGTCCTGACACTGTTCGCAATAGATTAAGAGAGGTCAACTTAAGAAGCAGATGCCCCTGGAGAGCTCAACCCTTAATGAGAGGAAATCGAGAGGTACGATATTTGTGGGCTCAAGATCATGTTCAGTGGTCGAATGAACAATGGGCCAATGTTTCTCTTCACGGATGAGTCACGCTTTGAATTCATCCGGATTCGAGAAGGCTTAGGGTATGGAGAGAACCGGGAAATCTTATTCGGTTGGATCTTGTTCAGGAAGTGCACCCTTATCAAGGTGGAACAGTTATGGTCTGGGGAGGAGTCCAGTTAGGCCGAAAAACCGATCTCGTTTTTCTTGAAAGGTTTCCAACAGCAATCACATATCGTGATTTAATTCTTGAGCCTGTCGTGTTACCATATACCAATGATTTTGGGAGAAACTTCATTCTCATGCATGACAATGCACGGCCTCATACAGCCAAAGTGGTAAGTGAGTTTATCAATGCTCATCAATTAAACATATTACCCTGGCCGGCACAATCTCCTGACCTCAACCCCATCGAGCACGTATGGGACGCGGTCCAAAGAAGAATTTTGAGAATGGGTATGCCTCGTGAAACTCGTAGGGATCTGGTTCGGGCCGTGAATGCAGCGTGGCAGGCTGTACCTCAAGAAGAGATCGACAACCTGATCAGGATCATGGAGAAACGATGTAGGGCTGTAATGCACAGTAGAGGAGGCCATACCCTTTATTAAGTAAAAATGGTTTTATCTTTTTTTTTTAATTCCCAGAATAAAAAAAAAATGTGTGTATTTTTTTGAGTTCAATAAAAATCAAGGTAAATTTGAAAAATTCGGTAAATTTCGCATTTTTATTTCCAATATGTCCTGTAAACTATTTGTTTATTTTAATTTTATTATATCAGAAATGCAAATAATAAAATTACTGACGATGGCTGGATAAAATTGTAATATCCCTAGACTTTTCCGGGGTGTGTATATATGGTGATGGTAGGAAATCATACCATATAGTGATGGTTATCTCTCAACTGTTTTGCTATAAAATATATCAACATACTTATGGCCCTAGCTGTATATTTTCGTATTTTGTACACCCATGGTAGATACTGATGAAATAAATTTGAGTTTAGTGAAGTTGAAGAAGAAAAAACATAAAATTGTAGCGTTTTTTAAACAACTACCACTGCGAACGGCAGCTTTTCATCGGAGAGCAGTCGTGGGTAAGGTATTTCACTAGAGAGAAAACTAATCAATAACAATAAACAAAAAAATACAAATATTGGGCGCCAGGCATGTACAGAGAAAGACATCATCATTATGTTGAAATTAAATTTGAAACCATATTAAATCAATTATCTTTTCATTAGACAATGTCATTTCTGGGATATACAGTAAAAATACATTAAAAAATTATTCTACAGCTCCTCTTCGTATACTTATTTCTCTGAGATCCGTACTGATTTCTCATCTCCAACAGCGCATCGTACAACATTCTCTTTCGAGCATATCTCTATGCGGATCACTGGAATAGTTCATTTTGCTTCATATACATACTAAAACTAATGACTATATTTATTCAAGACCAGGCTGTGATGCCGAAGATAGCATTGTACAATTTTGTTAATAATTATTAAAACAAGTTATATGTCAACAAATAGTGGTAATGTTAATATTTATTTGTACTAAATATACTATGAATATAAAATACCATTACAATACATATGTAATGAAACCTACAGATATAATATAATATTTTAAATATTAAATCGACATGAATGTTCTTAATAATACTAACCACTAAATATAGTCTGTACGATGTTAAAATGTACGGTACTGTTTAAGACTGAAAATCATTTAGATGTTAAATGTAAAACTAGAACCCTAAATCTACACCTTAGCTATTCTTTATGTAATCTTACTTCAAACAGTAACAGAGTGAGGTGGGCTTGCATCTCTGTACTGTCTGTCGAGAAGCGATCCTGGTTGGCCAAAACAACAAAGGGGCCAGAATATGAGAGGACACCATGAATCACTACAGCATGGAGCAGCATGGAGCTTACGCTACATCCATACTGATGGAGCAGCATGGAGCTTACGCTACATCCATACTGTGGCAATAATAAGGGGACACTACCCGTACCTTGGAACTACTAGGACCTTATGGATAATGCCCGTACCTTGTAAATAGTCCGTACCTTGAGACCTAAAATATGAAACTCTTGTTTACAATAAGAAATAGATAAAAGGTACTAATAAACAAAATAAATAATCTATACTATTATATATAACTTCCTTAAGTGGCTCAATGAATAAACAAAGATCCTGTTAACTTCCCACTCAACGCCAACAATTCTGGCATGACAAGTTGAAGAAAGGGACGTTAGACGTGCGATAAGCAGGGAAATACAGGGGAAATTCCAGTTCCAAGTTGGGGACATCAAAACTCACCCCTAAAAATATTCAGAAATAATATCGAATCTTAAAGATAATAACTCATCTTTCCTGTAGCACGCTTAAATGGCAGCTGTATTCAGATTTTGTTTCTTTTATTTAAATTGCCATTTTTTAAAGCAGGATGTATAACCGTGGCCAAAAACAAAGTGAGGTTAAAACGCAGAGAGGCGCCTTGACATATGACAAGGATCTTGACAGCGCGCGCCTCCACAGAACAGTGAAACGATAGCAGGGTTGGCGACTAGGGAACGTAAAAATTACGCCAAGCGTGCCAAATAACTATCCGGCTTGAACGAGAGGGAATCCGGTGATGATAGGCCCCAGACATCATATAATATATATAAAAAAGACATGTAACGAACTAAAAACGTTACAAAATATTACTACAAGATTGTATTAATGGTTTATATATCATTTGTAATCACGCTAAGCTGCGTAAGAGACATACGTAAATATGGAGGAACGATATTTTATGAATAGCATTGCTTTATGCCATTTGCAACATCATTATGTTGAAATTAAATTTGAAACTATATTAAATCAATTATCGTTTCATTAGACAATGTCATTTCTGCGATATACAGTAAAAATACATTAAAAAATTATTCTACAGCTCCTCTTCGTATACTTATTTCTCTGAGATCCGTACTGATTTCTCATCTCCGACAGCGCATCGTAAAACGTTCTCTTTCGAGCACATCTCTATGCGGATCACTGGAATACTTCATTTACATACAGTTAAACATTTTTAGTCTGAACCAAGTCGTGTTGCCAAGTGCGCGTCAATTTTGTTATTAAGTGATAAAAACAAGATAATAAATGGCACCAAATAGCGGTAAATTTAATATTTATTTTTATAATATTTACTTAAATATAAAATAACTTTAAAATCATATTAATAACTAACACACATTCTCGCTTATCTGTGATAAATAATAATAAAAATACTATGTTGTATATGGTGTTCCACGTTATTTTGCTGCAATTTCATGACTTCTTCCATTCCAAATTTCTGTAGTGTTTTAAAAGTTTTTAACTTTTCTAATCAAATAGATAAAAATACAAATAGAAAATAAATAATAAATGAATATTTCTTTAATAGCATGCTAATATCTTGTTTAGATTTATCCTGAAAAATATATTATCTTTAAAGAACATTTAGAAATCATTATTTGTTATTTAAAATTTGCATTCGGGGTCAGCTATACCGGGTGCGTCTCAAAAGTGGCTCACCCCTATAACTTTTTTATTTTTTGAGATACAGAAACGAGATTTTGTATTTTAGTATATGACATAAATTAGGATTGATTGACGTATTCAATTGTTTTTGGTCATTTCCTGTTTCACTGGAAATTACTACAACTTTTGATTTTTAAATGGCACCCTCGGTATTTTTTTACTTTATTCGATAGAAAACGACATTCTGAATAGAATGACATATCGTATGTCAACTTTTGACATTCTCGCTTAATAAAAAATCGTATTTTAAAATTCAATCTAGAGTGCCATGGTTATGTTAAAAACACTAATTCTTATTCAAGAAGCCTTGGAAAAATAGATTTGATCGTCTAATGTTTTTACTGTCTTTTGTCGTGGCCAGTTAGAAAATGCTCAAATCGTATTTTTAATTATATGTATCTCATTTTTTTCAAATGGAACAAGGGTGGCTCATTAGCATCTTTGGAAAAAGCATTTTTTTACGAATAATTTGATACCACACACTTGGTATTTCGAGTCAAATTTTCGTTACGAACCGGAAGTTATAATTTCAAATAAACCATATGCGAAAATGTCAAAAGTTGACATATGATATGTCATTCAATTCCGAATGTTATTTTCTTTCGAATAAAGCAAAAAAACCGAGGGTGCCATTTGAAAATCAAAAGTTGTAATCATTTCCGGTGAACCAGGAAGTGACCAAAAACAATTGAATACGTCCATCAGTTCTAATTTATGTCATATATTAACATGCCAAATCTCGTTTTTTTATCTGAAGAAATAAAAAAGTTATAGGGGGTGAGTCACTTTTGAGACGCACCCGGTATATATTTTCGTTTAAATCAACAACCTCATATCTGTCCATTTTGCATTTTAAGGTCCTGGATACGCTTCACCACAAGACGCAATTCTCAATGGACCCAGAGAACAGATCCTCTACGTCTGTTGTGTCCAACCGGACTTAACGAAACCGGCAGGGGATGTTCTGGCAACAGTGGACGTCGATCCAGAATCACCCACCTACTGCCAGATCATTCACAGATTGAGAACAGGCGCTTCCAACGATGAACTGCATCACAGCGGGTGGAACATCTGTTCCAGTTGCCATGGAAATAGCACATGTTGTAAAAGGGACAAGTTGATACTGCCTAGCTTGTTGTCCAATCGGATATTCGTGGTGGATACTGGAACCAATCCTAGGGCACCATCTTTTTATAAGGTTGAGTATAGAGTTACACAGCAAAATAAAACACTAATTCGCCAATATTGTCGACCTATTTTACATTCTTGACATGGCATTGTCGACATTCTCGACCTAATATTGTCGACATATCAGAAACAAATCGGAAACAAACTTTTAATTACTCTTCTATTACTAAATACATTATTTTTATAATTTTGTTATTTATTATTATAGATTATAGAGGCCGAGGAAGTCAACAAGGTTGATTGTACTGCTCTCCATACCACACATTGTTTGGCATCTGGAGATATAATGATCTCCTGTATGGGAGACAATGAGGGAAACGCCAAAAGTGACTTTGTTTTGCTAGATAGTAAAACATTTACTGTGAAAGGTAAGGAAAAGATACTTAATATCACGATTAGGGGGGGGGGGTGTCCGTTATTTACCAAGTTGGTCATTTTTCTCTCAGGACGCCCTCTAAATTTTTAGTTTATTGTCTAAAAACAATAACAGACCATTTTAAACCCTTAATATTCACATTAAACCAAAGACGATTCATTCATTTTCCATTAAAATTACATGGGAATTTGCCACGTTTTGCAAATAATTTTTTTCTCTCGATCTTGTTCTGTCGCAGCCATGACAATCACATATTCTTGTACAGAATTGAACGCCCTACAAAAAAGGTCTTTCACAATTTTTCGATAAACCTACTCCTTCAAAAGTTATTCACGGTTAAACGTAACCACTCGGTAAATTCCTAAAGTGTTCAACTTTTTTGACAAAATTATGATTTTTTTTGAAAAATTTAATCTATTACTGTAAAACTATAAAATTCTGATGGTGTTAAGGTTGGGAATTAAGAAATCTTCAAGTCTAATGAACTTTAAATCATAACATAGCAACTAGTATAATAGCTGATTTATTTTAATAAACATTCTTAGTTAGGTTTTTAAAAGTTGGATTAGTTGGATTTTGATTTTTTTTTGTATGTTGGCAAGAATTGTTGTAAAAATAAATTCAAATCTTCAACTCAGCAGAAAAAAAAATGTTAGAAAAATAACAGAAATTTACCGAACTTACTTAAAATTAGTTAATTAAGCACTGCAAAAGAATACAAGCTCAAAAATAATAAATATTAGAATTAACAACCTGGCATGCATTCAGTTGTTTTCCATAATTCAAAATTGTTTATCATGGTATCATGAAAATTGCTTTTTTTCAAATAATAGATTAAATTTTTCAAAAATAATTATAATTTTTTCAAAAAAGTTAAAAAATTTAGGAATTTACCGAGTGGTTAACTTTAGCCGCGAATAACTTTTGAAGGAGTAGGTTTATCGGAAAATTGTAAGAAACCTTTTTTGTAGAGCGTTCAATTCTGTATAAGAATATGTAATTGTCATGGCTGCGAGAGAACAAGATCGGGAGAAAAAAAAATATTTGCAAAAAGTGGCTAATTCCCATGTAAATTAAATGGGAAATGAATCGTCTTTGGGGCAAGGTTTAATGTGAATATTAAGGGTTCACAATTACACATTTTAAAGGTACGTGGGTTAAAGGCAAGGCTGCCAAGTTTAACTATGATTTCTGGTACCAGCCTTACCACGATATCATGGTATCTTCCGAATGGGGTGCGCCAAGGGTATGGAAGAAAGGATATAATGCAGATAACCCCAGCGATCCTGAGGCATATGGTAGAAGTTTGAACTTCTATTCTTGGAGCAAAAAAGAATTAATTCAAACCATTGGTAAGCTTATATAAATGTACAGGGTGATCAAAATGCTACCTTAAAAGTTTAAAAATGAACCAAATATTCACAATTGCATTTATTTTTTTAATCTACGACAATGTCATTATGACACATTTAACATTGTCATTTGGATGTCATTATGGAGTGCTATTATGAATTCATAATAACACGCAAATTTTAAAATAAGAAACAAGCAAAAAAAGATACCTTAATACGTTTATTTATTGTAAACATTAATTATAATATCAGTACAATTGGTTAAATTAATTCCAGACGATGACCGGTGAGTTGAATTTTTAGAAAGTAAATTTATTTCCTGAGTGCTTGAACCTGTTGAAGACCCATCATTGCCAGAAATGTTACCCAAAATATTACATGATACTTTTTTCTTATTTTCTTTGGAATTTTCTATATAGCTCTCTGCCACTGTGTTAGAACGCCAACCACCATGTCTTTTAACAGTTAATAAATCCACTCCAGAGTCTGCAAGCAACGACGCAGACGATCTACGGAAACAATGTCCAGTGTATTGTTGTGGATTTGGAAGACTTAGGAACAATGCTATTTTATACGGCATTTTCCCTAAAGTATTAATGCCAACGGGTTGCTTAATACATTTTCCATTTCTGTACCCCACAAAAAATCGAGTATGCTCTGTGGTGCTTGGCCTCATAGTTATATATCTTCGAACCATTTCCACCATATTTATTCCTTCAACGTTCCCTTTCGTTATAAAAAAAATCTCGTGATATCTTTGTTTTTGTAAATGGGATAATGACATGAATGCATTGTCCTTCATCTTAAACATTTTGCAGCTGCAGATTTGTCAACTCGATACGCCGCACATAGGTCATTTTCGCCAATTTAAGCGGTAATAAATAATGCTTATAAAATTTAAATTATTTTTTAAAACAAAAATAATTTGTTTGGTAAGAAAATAAATAAATGCGTTGAATAATGATATTTTCTTTCATTTTATGCTTGTACAGGGTGTCTTACGAAATATATTATTTTTTTTCATTTTGTTATATCGAACTCAAACAAAAACTGTAGTTCCTTACTTTTTTGTAAGTGAATTTATTAGTATCTAGAAGGTTTACAGAAGATGTACTGTATTAGTAATTGAAAGTAAAAATTAGCTTGAACAATGAAAAAAGAACCTAAAAAATTTAACAAATATAAATAAATATGATAATAAAACAATTTTACTAGAGAAATGTATGTAACAATAATATTCAATCATCAATAATGATCATCATCATCCTGAATATTTTCATCATTTTGTCCTAACTCTGATGCCTGTAAAGTACGCCCTCGAAGTAAATTAAGAACCTCTTTGATGAGTGGTTCCTTATATGACCGTGCTCCCACACATTTAAACAAAGAGTAATAATAATAATAATATAATTTTTTAATAATTTTCACTATTTCATTATAATGTTCCTCGCCATCATGTTGCCCTAAATTTAGCGTATTCAGAACAAATCGCAAAACAGATGCATTTTTTTCCTTCAAAGAATTGCCTTCACACCAAGCAGAAAACAAGAGAGATTTTTCTATTGACATGGTACCTAAAACAATATATATTTATTCTCTTGGCACATCTTGGCAGCTAAATTTAGGATAGATTAATCGATAAAAAGATTGTGAATACGAAAAAAATGTTCTTGAAATAAATCTGTATAAATCCTGAATTATGAACCTTTTTAAATACAAGGTTATGATAAAAAACCTATGTTTTTCTTATTATTAAAACATTGTATCTTTTCGCCAAGTCACAAGCTTTTTACACGGATATTATTTTTTTTAATAATAAATCTTACCTTATGGTACACAATAACACAACACTTCTTTTTAAACTCACTTTCTATTCGTAACAATAAAATTCTAAACTTTATGAACTAATGACAGTAATTTTACAATACAAAATAATTCAAACAAACTTTGATATTGTCATTCTCGCCATGGCCACCTTTGTTAATATTAAAATATAATATTGCAGAAATAATATCTATAGGGCCCTAGCTCCAAGATGAAATATAACAAAATATTTTTTTCGACATTCAATTTTTTTATTTATTAATTCCTAAAATACATAAAATGACCTATGTGCGCCGGCAGGCTCCCGCAAGTCCCACTATCAATGAAACTTGTCAGGAAATAAGTTTTATCATCGGCTTCCAACAAAAAACGAGTTATGTCTTCTTTTCTTAAAATTCTCGATTTTTTTGACCGAAATCCTTCCGATTTTCTTTTTAGAAATGCAATTAAATGGACATACTTACTAATATCTGTATTTTTCTTCACTGATATAACTGAATGTAGCATGGAATAATATACCCAAAGTGATGAAGCCTTCCTATGTTCTGAAAGATGTTCAAAATATGCCAGGAGAATCTTTTCGTTACTACCATTCTGGATTCCTTTCCCTTTACACCAATCTTCAAGTTTTACATAGGCTTGCTCGTATGTTTGTCTTGATTTTTCGGGAATTGGGAATCGACAACGTTTTGCGCAATGCCTTCAATATCCGAAGGGACACTTTCAGAATCAGAATCACCCATATTAATATTATTTTTTGCTTTTTGTTAAAACTGAACGTTTAACACAAAATTGAACATCAATAATTGAGTTGTCAAAGTCAAAATGGAAACAATCAACAAGCACGGTTACCACGGCGTCGACTAATATGGGCACCTGATAATTTTGAATTTTAATTTTTATTAGGATATTTCTGATATTTTAAATTAAACTACTTTGATGCTGCAAAATGGTGATTGACCGACATTTCGCTTTTAAGCTGCTATCATCAACTTTCTTTTTTTAAATATGGCACTGGATTTTTATTAAATATTTTAAGATCTTCCAAGATCCCAAAACCAATGATGTATGCATTTATTCGAAAAATTCATATTGGTATTTGAGATACTGATAATAAAAGTATTTTAGATTTGGGTGTAGATGGTATAACTCCTTTAGAAGTCAGATTCTTGCACAATCCCAAAGAAAGTCAAGGGTATGTCGGTTGTGCTGCAGGATCATCGGTCTTTAGGTAAGTTCACTAAGTTAAAAAATATTCAAAAATATTTTTCGCGAAAAAAACCTCATAGATGTGTTTCTAGGGTCGAAATATACTACCTATAAAAATATTTGCACTTATTTAAGACTCACCCTGTATAAGTAGACTTTTTTGTCTAATTTTCATCTCTCTATAATATATTATGATGAGTGATATGCAATACGATTACAATACAGTATATTTACAATAAAATACGATCAGAAAAAAACTGCGTCAGAGTTGCCTTCGAAATGAAGATGGCTGTTATTAAATGGCAAACGTTCGTTATTTCTAAGCCAACTCGATACCGTTTTTTTGATGATGCTGTATATTATTGATATGTTAAAGCGAGAAGCAAAAATTCCAGTGTATAGTCTAGTTTTTAATCCGTCATACCTGACAGGTAAATCGTTAAGTGTATAGAGGGCCCTTTAAATCTGGAACTGCTTTTTTTGACAAAATGGTGAATGAATTTTAATAAAACCCAATTTTAGAATAAATCCATTAACATTTACAGAGAAAAATACGAATATCTGTTTTATACAGGGCGTGTCAATACAAGTACGAAAAACTTTAAGGGGTGATTCCTTGGTACTAATATAAGGTGGTTTGTAATGTAGACGTTCGGTCAAAAGTTAATCATTATGCGGTATAAAGATGGCGGAAAAATTATAATTTAATTTTTTCTTTTAAAATCTAAAAGTTATATAGGGTATAGCAGTTTTATGGGATTATTACTAGTATAAAAACACTATATAAGTGTGTTTTAGAATGGGAAGTGTAGAAAAAGACTACCCCTAAACCTCTAATATTCTTTTTAACTAAATTGAAAAACTTGGTGACGACTTGGGAAAGTTGGTTTATTTAGTTTGTTTACTTTTTTACCTTTCAATGAGTTAAAAAAGTATTTTTATACATACATCTTTTTCTGTTGGTATTACAGATTCTATAAGAAACCCGATGGTACATGGGCAGCAGACAATGTCATAAAAATTGGAAAGAAAAAAGTCACTGGGTGGATAGAAAAATACATTTCAAGTAAGAATAATGTTTACTTTTATGAAATGAATATTCGCCACCTCAAAACTACAACTAGATAACTCGAAAATTGGCTGTTTTTAGTTAACCCTTACCAACCTTTGTTATTTTGGATTATTTTTCTATTGCAACAACTAGATAACTTAAAAGTGACGCCATGCCATCCACTTTATATTTGAAGTGTGAAACGTACATATTTCCCAAATAAATTTCCAGGATATGTCCAGGACATTACAATAACTAAGTTGTCAAAACTATGATTTTAGAGATATCTACAATATCAACACATTTAAACTATGTCTAATAACAATAAAAATTAATAGTAAACCAAGACATTAGATTTTGCTACAGGTGTTCGATATGTCGACCGTCTTCTGTTATGGACAGACGGGACCGTTTTTGAACATTTCTCGCGGAATTTATTAACTCAATAGGGGTGAAAGATAACCTCGCATAACCGCTAAGTACTTTTAATTCTTGTTTAGATTATACAGGCAATTTGAAAATAACAACCATTATTTTTTCGCAAAGATAAGAATCCAGGCACTAAGTCCGGCGGCCTCCACGGCCACCGGCTGGTATCTTGGTTAGCTAATCAATTATTATCGAAATTGGCTGCAAAAGTTAGCTGATAAGTTCAGTGTTTTGAGGTGGTGCCTCGTCTTGCTGGAAAAATATGGTTTCGAGTTCCATTAGGGGCTGATCATCAATAAGGGGTCCAAAGCCTACTAGTTAAAAGTGGCGAACTTTTAAAAATTTTGTATTTCGAAAGGGATTATAACAAACCGTTTTTGAACATTTCTCGCGGAATTTATTAACTCAATAGGGGTGAAAGATAACCTCGCATAACAGCTAAGTACTTTTAATTCTTGTTTAGATTATACAGGCAATTTGAAAATAACAACCATTATTTTTTCGCAAAGATAGAATCCAGGCACTAAGTCCGGCGGCCTCCACGGCCACCGGCTGGTATCTTGGTTAGCTAATCAATTATTATCGAAATTGACTGTAAAAGTTAGCTGGTAACTTCAGTGTTTTGAGGTGGTGCCTCGTCTTGCTGGAAAAATATGTCTTCGAGTTCCATATTAGGGGCTGATCATCAATAAGGGGTCCAAAGCCTACTAGTTAAAAGTGGCGAACTTTTAAAAATTCTGTATTTCGAAAGGGATTATAACAAAATATCGAGTGTGCTATATTTTTGGAAAGGTAATTTTAAGTTCTTTTCATTTAATTAAAAATATACAGGGCGTCCCAAAAAAAATCAAATTTTCTGTTGATAACTCTTTATTAACTCTTAATTATTATTTTTAAAAAAGTATACTTAAACCGTTAAATTCTACGTACGTAAAAAGGTGCTTTGGAAATGTGTTTATAAAAATAGGAAATTTTCCATAGCAAAAAACTTACAGCGATTTGTTAAAAATGCACATTTTTGAAGAACACCCCGAAACGGTAACAGATATCGATGTGCTGTTTTCAACATCATGTTTTTGATAAAAATTGAGCTCCAGACACCGATATTAGTTTTTTCCCTTTAAAAGCGTCCAATTTGACCCACCCTGTACATAACGTTTTTTTCTTTAATTCAGGTTTGATCAGCGATATTATCATCTCCCTGGATGACCGATTTCTGTACTTAAGCAACTGGTTCCACGGTGACGTCAGGCAGTACGACATAACTGACAGAGAGCATCCAAAACTGATCGGTCGGTTATACCTAGGTGGCAAGCTGTTATCCGATTCCAAGATAAAAGTTCTGGATGATCCAGAGATGCCGACTCAGCCCGATCCTGTAATCATTAAAGGAAAACGATTCTATGGAGCGCCTCAAATGTTGCAGTTGTCATTGGATGGAAAAAGGTAAATGACGTAGAATATAGAATGAGTTCATCGGTTGTTAATCACAGCGACCTTAAGAGTCTATTAAGGTGCGTACTCACTAAGAGCATTTTGGTCCGAACGAACCAAGCGAGCCGAGCGCGCACGAACGAACTCAATAAGGAAAAGACCGCGATGTTCAGAGTGCTTGTTGCGTTCGCTGTATTCCCACGTTCAGTTGTATGGTTCAGTAAATAAAAAACAAGCTGTAAAGCCTGTTTTTTTTAATAAAAATTTGACATTTTTCACGTGATTGCTTCTTTACAGCTAGGTTAGAAATCATGTGACATTTGCCAAATCTTTCCATTAAAAAAACAAGCTTTATTGTTATATTCGTTATAATTTGCGCCTTCTCCCTTCTGAAACTTACCAGAAGACTTTCAATTTTTTTCTTTGCTTCACCAGAAGCACATCCCATGATCTCATCTATCTGCCTCCAAGCATCAAACTTCTTAACTTTATTATAGTATAATCCATCCCTTGGATTCCAAAGCACTGGATATTGTTCTTAAATGTCTATTAATTGAAGGCACCAAACCAAACAACTGAATAGACACAAATACTTCACTAGAACGTCTAAATATAAATGCTGATAAGGAATAAAAATGAAAACTAAACAAATATACAGGGTGTTTCAAAACAAATGCGAAAAACTTTAGGGGGTGATTCCTTGTTCAAAATAAAGGGTAGTTTGCTTTATAAACGTTGGGTCAAAAGTCAACCATTAGGGAGATATCGCGGTACAAAGATGGCGGAAAAATAATGTTTTTATTTTTTATCTTGAAAACGAAAAGAGATAGACTAATGAAATTTTATGGAAGCATTACTGTTATGAAAACACACTTTCAGGTAATTTTTTACTTTTTAAAATGAGTGGAATCGGTTGAAATAAACTACCTCTATGATTCTTGTTAACGAAATTTAAAGAAAAATCTTATCAAACACATGCAAATGCTTTAATTTGATAGTTTAGTTTGTTTAGAAACTTTTTACCTCTTGTGTTTTTTTGATAAAACTCACCGATTGAAATTAAAAATAAAATGTAAAGCATTACATGTCAGGACAAAAAACATTTTTAGATTAATAATCTAGCGATAATAACGATAATAATAATCATCTAGATAATAACGTATTGCAGTAGAGTAATGTCAAATAAAATAATATTAGGAACATCCTAAAAAGTAACAGCGGCCGACTAGATTTTTTCCTGAAAAAATTACAGCAGCCCACTAGATTCTTTATCAGAAAATGTTTTTTGTCCTGACATGTAATGCTTCACATTTTATTTTTTAATTTCAAATCGGTGAGTTTTATCAAAAAAATACAAGAGATAAAAAAGTTTCTAAACAAACTAAACTATCCAAATTAATTTTTTTGCATGTGTTTGATAAGATTTTTCTTTAAATTTCGTTAACAAGAATGATAGGGGTAGTTTACTTCAACCCCTTCCACTCATTTTAAAAGAGTGAAAAAATTACCAGAAAGTGTGTTTTCATAACAGTAATGCTTCCATAAAATTTTATTAGTCTATCTCTTTTCGTTTTCAAGATAAAAAATAAAAACCTTATTTTTCCGCCATCTTTGTACGGCAATATCTCCCTAATGGTTGACTTTTGACCCAACGTTTATGAAGCAAACTACCCTTTATTTTGAACAAGGAATCACCCCCTGAAGTTTTTCGCATTTGTTTTGAAACACCCTGTATATGCATGTGGTCTTCTTAATTTGTATATCTGCTTGCATTCCACTTACAAAAAAAGTCCATATACAGTGAGTCTAAAATATGTATTTTGGCCAAAAAATTAGCTTATAGAAACCATAGTGCATCCGTGTGAATAATTTCTAAGTCTTCTTTAAATAAAGGCTTGTTTAGCTTTTTTCTAAAAAGCGTTGGATGGGAAATGCTTATATGAGATATTCTACACAGTCTATAACTTATTTTTCTAATAAATATTTTTTGGTAATTTCAGGTTATATGTAAGTACAAGTTTTTTTTCGCCTTGGGACAAAGAATTCTATCCAGAAACAGTGAAAGAAGGCGGGAGGATAGTTAAATTTGATATTGATACGGAAAATGGAGGCATGAAGTTGGATGAGACGTTTCTGGTTGATTTTTCCGGAGGCGAAGATGGTCCAATTCTGCCACACGAAATGAGGTAAAAAAAATCTGTCAAAAAATGACAGAAAATATTTTCAGGATTATTTTTAGTTTTAATTAAATTATTTTTTTTTTATTTGTAGATACCCTGGAGGAGACTGTACATCAGACATCTGGATGGTTAACGAATAAGACTTTTTTGTAAGAATAAATCAAGGAATTTAATTATAATAAAAAATACCTGTATGTTCTATTTTTTTACCTCTAATTCTAGTACCTACCATTAAGAAGGACCAACAAAAACATAGTGCATATAATTACATAAGACATTTATAATTTTATATCTATATTATATAAAATATGCTACTGTAATCAATAGAATGGTACCTACCTACAAGAAATGTTTACAAAAATAAAGTTCTTATAACCTTATTTATTTGTCTCATTTGTCAGATTTAACAAAGAAAACAACATTATTCACTTCATTCCATTGAGTAAAATGTAGTTTCTTTGAATCACCCTGTATATCTACAGCAATATTTTTAAAATTATATATATTCTTTGTGTGCTATAATTAATTGTTCGTATACCTTACTGAATAAATAGCAGTGAAATCTCAACTAGAAAGCCTGATATGGAGTACACACACCCTGTATACTGAATTACTAATTTAATTATTTTTATTTAATTACCTAATTTTCTAATTTGTATAAAAAACTATAAATACGAGGAATCGTGAAGAATGTGTGCATTATAAAATATCTTTGCAATCTAAAATTTTTCTCCAGGTTTGTCACTGCAATATAAATTTTATTTATGATATTACCTTTATTTTAATCTAAAAATCTAAACATAACAATAAGAATCCTCAACAAAATAAGGTAAATAAATTATTAATTAATATTAATGTGTCTATATGCAGAGAAAATATTTATTATGTTTTTTACCTTGTAAATAAGGATTATGCTTCTTGTTTGTTGGATAAATGACTTATTTAATTATAAATATTAATAAAACCAGTAATAACGCAAAATATACGAAAAATAAACCAATATATTTTTATTTAGCAATATTTAAATATATTTCGGTACTTTTGCGCCATCTATGTAGCGCTTCTCGAATCAACACCATTAGCTGCGCCATCTGGGCGGACAGTACGTGAACTAAACGGCCAGATTTCAATTTTTCATTAAATTTTCAATTCAGTAAATCCGGACCATTTGCTAGTGGTGGATGTTGTCGGTTTCGTGAGTTTATCTCGATCGAAATCGAAACTTTACCTTTTTTCGAGATTTGTGCGTGTTCTTGGTGAATTATTGTGAACATTCTCGATTTTATAGTGAATGTTACCAGTGCAATATCAGGAGGAAACCGATATTCACACCGCTCTTGCCTAGACAAGGTTTGTTTTTGTCTTCAAAAATCGATATTTTCATATAGCACACTCCGAGGTTTCTGATAACGAGACACAAAACTCTTAAATTTGCCCCAAAAACATTAGTTTTTTATCGATAAAACAGTAGGGATTAAAAAATTCGATATATAAATAGAATAGAGCAATCGATAAAGGGTAGACGTTTAAAAAACAAGCTTCTTCTAGGAATAAGGGTGACTACAAAGGGTTTCTGGGAGCAACAGGGTCACCTGAAGGGCTTTTTCAGGTAGATTCAGGTGTAAAACGGAGGTAAAATGGCTGGAAAATAGGTTCTTAACCCAGAAAGCCTGCAACAGAAAAGAAAATCTCGCGTTCCAAGTACTATCATTCATCTCTGAGAGTATCTTTATTAATTATCATGTATACCTCGGTACTTATTTTGCTACTTTCTATTTTGTATTTTCGTATGAAGGAAGGTTGTTGCTATGGTAATGGATTGTTTGGGATGGTAATGATTTCTGACAGAAATAAGAAAAATAGCTGAATTTTATTGAACAAGCAGCATCTATTTACATCTATTTATATCTTTATTTATATCAATACTTAATAGCCCAATCATAGGGCTCTATTTTGTTGTGTTTCTATGGCAACACAAACAACATTTCGATAAATTTGAAAAATTAATCTCCATTTTACTCCTAACTACCTCCTAACTTGATATTTGTTAAATTATTTTGACAGTTTGTTATAAAAAAGGAGAAAATGTTGTTAATCTGTCAAAAAATAAATTTTTAACAATAAAAATTATTCTTTTACTATTTTGTGTAGGCAATCACAACAAAAATAAATGATATCTAGAACTGCACTAATGCAGTATTATCACATTTTAAGCATAGCTACTTTGGTACTCACACATAAACATATATTGGAAACACAGGTGAATATGAAAAAACGATAATAATTATTTACATCATCATAATTTAGAATGAAAAATATTAGATCAATATTGCCTCAGATAAACATCAAATAAAATTTGTCGGTCTGATAAAATTTCGCAAGATAGGTATCTCTAAATATTTGAATTACTTAAAGAACATAGCGAGCATGTAAAAATCAACTCTTTTGAGTCATGATCATCATCATTTTGAGCTTATTTAACCATTTCCAGTTTATGGTGTAGCCTTCCTCACATTTAGATACTCTTTTGAGTGAATGAACAAAAATTGACGAGTTGTTGAGGGCTAGGCCAATTAATCTTTTCGTTCTTTTGTATATATTATACATCTACTACATAGACTAGCAACTATACAGGGTTGCTGTTATGTATGGAAACGGTCGATTAGTAGGCAAAATATAGGAGGTACCGCAAAAAGTTAAATACAAAAGTTATAGGGTTTTTAAAAATCTATTGGCGAGTAATAAATTTAAGTATACAGGGTTGGTCATAAAGTCGTGGCACATCAAAGTTTCATTTTTTTAAATAGAACCCCCTGTATATTACTGCATATTTCAATTCTACCTTCAATTCTAAGAAAAAATCGAAATACACATAATTTACCTCAAACCAACCGTTTCCGAGTTATTGACTTCGCGAAAATTGACTTCGCGAAATCGCGAATATTCGGAAAAATCCGAATTTTGCAAGAAATTTCTTTTCAAAATTCAAGATATCGAGAAAAAAATTAACGAAAGTGTATCAAGTATGCCGATTCTTAAGTCAGAAGAAAAAGAATGCTTCTCCGCCTCACAAAATAAAAAAAACCTATGGCTCTTGAACCAATGCATTTTGCCGCGAATTTCTTGGACCCCTGTTTCCTTAGAGTGCACCTTAACAATGAAGAATGCATAGCCGCTATGGAATTTATCAACAATATCACCAACAATCATCCTCAGTTTGTCAATAATAAGCCATTTTTACAGATGTAACAAATTATTGCGCCAAATCGGGTTTATGGGCTCTCGACTACGTTTGGATGTCAGTGAAAAATGTAGACTGTCTAAGTTGGTGGCAAGCAATGTGTAAAAATACTCAGTTGAAATATTTAGCTGTTGCTCTGCTGTCTTTACCAACGTCATCTGCAGCCACAGAGAGAAGTTTCAGTACTTACAGTTTTATCCATACTAAAAAAAGGAATCGCTTAACTGCACGAAGAGCCGGTAAAATAATGTTCGTATATAGCTTATAACAATAAATTATTACTACAAAAACAAAATGGATATGGAGCATGATATTCAACAACATGAAATTCCTCCAGAACCACTAGAACTCGTGGAGGTAGTGGTCTATCCTTCAGAATCAGAACCAGATGGTACATCAAATATATCTGATTTGGAAATAGAAACTGACGAAGACAGTACTACTACTACTATAATACCCTATGAAGATGGGACCAGCTCGGCGCCCTGATATTCCCGAATAGAATAATTCAGTTATTTGTGTTTTACGTTTTTTAAATTTATATTTCGTGCTTTTTTGTTTTTTTTTAAATTCATAGTCATAGTTCGTGGTTTATGCACAAAATACAAATGTTACCAAATGATTTTTGTTATGGGTTATGTTAATGACTTTTATAGGTTATGTATTGTTTATTAAAAATATAACAACTAATATTATGTTTATTGTTTTTTTTTCCACTTACATGTTGGTATCAAATGTCTATCTAATTTATTCCTTTATTGTATCGACAAAAAATATGTAAAATTGTAAAATTTCCTAATATTTCATAAATTTCCGAAAGTCTCCGAAAGTTTCAGAAATTTCCTGCAACAATCAAAAATTTCTGAAATATTAACATCACTAATGTCAAGTCTGGAAATTACAAAATTGCTCTTATATTTTACGCTAAATAAAACAAACAGCAACAATGGTGGTTTTCATTTAAAATAGTCCATTTTTTATAATTTTCTGGATGTAATTTTTATCATATTTTTATGACCACCCTGTATAATATTGAGTTTATTAAACTTTTTACAGTAAATTCTTTTCTATAAGACAAGCTACATATGTAATTTATCTCGAAATTTATAAAAAAATCTATTCAAGGAGAGGATACATGACAGTGACAGTTATTGTCTGCCATTTTAATCACAGGAAAGCGTATTTTCTGTCGGTCTTTTTGGATGATGACACCGTGTGTGTAAGGTACTGCTAAAAATTGCTGGAATTCGAATAAACGTTTACAAGTTTCACAAAATTGGTACAATATTTTTATACATATTTTATAATGGATACATATCTTTAAATATCGATATTTTGATTTATCGATACTGGCGGACGTCCCTACTAGGAACCATTTTTCATTAGAGAAAAAAATTAAACATGTGGGCGCAGCATCTACCTTAAATTATTCTCAATTCGAACAAGGAACAGTCTGTCTGTCTAGCACATGTGGGATTAAGTTTTTCCCTTCAATATGTTCACGTAAAGCAAGCCGAAATGCATCTCTAAATAGATATCGAACTTTCAAATCGACTACGCATTAGGGACGTCGATTTAAAAAAAAAGGTCGATATTTGAGAGAATAATGCTTCAAATACTTTTTTAATCTACGACAATGTCATTATGACACATTTAACATTGTCATTTGGATGCCATTATGGCTTTCATAATAACACTAGTGCTATTATGAATTCATAATAACACGCAAGTTTTAAAATAAGAAACAAGCAAAAAAAGGTACCTAAATACGTTTATTTATTGTAAACATTAATTATAATATCAGTACAATTGGTTAAATTAATTCCAGACGATGACAGGTGAGTTGAATTTTTAGAAAGTAAATTTATTTCATGAGTGCATGAACTTGTTGAAGACCCATCATTGCCAGAAATGTTACCCAAAATATTACATGACACTTTTTTCCTATTTTCTTTGGAATTTTCTATATAGCTCTCTGCCACTGTGTTAGAGCGCCAACCAACATGTCTTTTAACAGTTAATAAATCCACTCCTGAATCTACAAGCAATGACGCAGACGATCTACGGAAACAATGTCCAGTGTATTGTTGTGGATTTGGAAGACTTAGGAACAATGCTATTTTATACGGCATTTTCCCTAAAGTATTAATGCCAACGGGTTGCTTAATACATTTTCCATTTCTGTACCCCACAAAAAATCGAGTATGCTCTGTGTTGCTTGCCCGCATATTAAATATATACATAACCAAACCAAACCGCATAGTTATATATCTGCCAACCGTATCCACCATATTCATTAAAATCTAAAATAAATAAAATATCATAAAAAATCTCCTGATATTTTTGTTTTCGTAAATGGAATAATGACATGAATGCATTGTCATTCATCTTTAACATTTTGCAGCTGCAGATTTGTCAACTCGATACGCCGGCAGGCTCCCGCAAGTCTCACTATCAATGAAACTTTTGTCAGGAAATAAGTTTTATCATCAGCTTCCAACAAAAAACGAGCTATGTCTTCTTTTCTTAAAATTCTCGATTTTTTTGGTCGAAATCCTTCCGATTTTCTTTTTAGAAATGCAATTAAATGGACGTACTTACTAATATCTGTATTTTTCTTCACTGATAACCGAACGTAGCATGGAATAATATACCCAAAGTGATGAAACCTTCCTGTTTTTTGAAAGATGTTCAAAATATGCCAGGAGAACCTTTTCGTTACTACTATTCTTAATTCCTTTCCCTTTACACTAAATTCAAGTTTTACATAGGCTTGCTCGTACGTTTGTCTTGATTTTTCGGGAAGTAGGGAATCGACAACGTTTTGGGCAATGCCCTCAATATCCGAAGGGACACTTTCAGAATCAGAATCACCCATATTAATATTATTTCTTGCTAAAACTGAACGTTTAACACAAACTTGAACATCAATAATTGAGTTCTCAAAGTCAAAATGGAAACAATTAACAAGCACGGTTACCACGGCGCGGCGTCGACTAATATGGGCACCTGATAATTTTGAATTTTAATTTTTATGAGGGTATCTCTGATATTTTAAATTAAATCAAATCTCTTTGGATCGTCCCTTGTGTCGCGTCGTAGATTAAAT